GACTGTCCACTGCGCATCCAATTAAAATCAATGCAGACTATAATTGTATTTTATAGTAATTGGGAGGTTCACAGATATTCGGTCAACAGACTGAGACTTGCCCAAAGCTTTCATCCACCTTACCTATAATGGCTAGATTGTACTTTTGGCACAATGCAATCGTGAATGCATGAAAATGAATATGACACACAATTGAACTGCTTTACTGGTTCTCTAGTAGAAATTCATTTAGGTTTAGGTATTCTGTCTTTCTTGCAGCTTCTTTTCAAGCTAAAAAAAAACATGCAGAGAAGAGAGAGAGCAATTTATTTCGCTTTATCTCCCTTTGACTATCTTTCCCTCTTTTCTTTCTGCTTTAAGGGAACTCGTTGATTAAAAAAAGCACTTCTTAGGTGCATTTTTTCACATGCTGCATTTTCAGATTCAGACTTTTCTCTAGATATTCACCCGTATTTTAGGAAGAATTGAATTTGGGCTCATTGACAATTCAATCTTCATGTTGTTTTCTTTTTTCCTTTTATTATGGCTCTGTGAAAATTGCAAGTTATTCATGCGAAACATTTGCCTCTGTAGAGACGCTTTGTCCACACATTTTTCATTTGTATCATTTGTCCCTACATGTATGTATCATTAATTCAATTGTGTTTTATGCAAAGTGTCAAAAACACATTGTTGAGAGAAATATTCAGATGTAAAACGGGCTATTGGTAGCACAAGAAAACGAAAAATTGTAAACATTTAGCTTTACTCACTCTGCTTTATCATACATTAAGCGGCCACTTTATTAGGTACACCCGTCCAGTTGCTTGTTACCACAAATTTCTAATCAGCCAATCACATGGCAGCAACTCAATGCATTTGTAGACATGGCCACGACAATCTGCTGCAGTTGATTCGAGCATCAGAATGGTGAAGAAATGGGATTTAAGTAACTTTGAACATGCTGTTGGTGCCAGACAAGCTGGTCTGAGTATTTGAAAAACTGCTGATCTAGTGGGATTTTCACGCACAACCATCCCTAAGGTTAACAGAGAATGATCAGAAAAAAAAAATAAATAGTGAGCGGCATTTCTGTGGGCGCAAATTATTTGAGTCGATAGAAAGGGAACAGTAACTCAAATAACCACTTATTACAACTGAGGTCTGCAGAATAGCAGCTCTTAACGCACAACATGTCCATCCTTCAAGCGGATGTGCTACAGCAGCAGAAGATCACACCGGGTGCCACTCTTGTCACCCAAGAACAAGAAACTGAGGCTACAATTTGGACAGGTTCACCAAAATTGGACAATAGAACATTGAAAAAATGTTGCCTGATCTGATGAGTTTTGATTTCTGCTGCAACATTCGAATGGTAGAGTCAGAATTTGAAGTCAACAACAGGAAAGCATGGATCCCTCCTGCCTTGTATCAACGGTTCAGGCTGCTGCTGGTGGTGTGATGGTGTGGGGGATATTTTTTTTGGCCCACTTTGGGCCGTTAGTATCAATTGAGAATCATGTCAACACCACAGCCTATGTAGTATTGTAGGAGATTCATGTCATCAATGTGCATCCAGCAAATCTGCAGCAACTGCGTGATGATATCATGTTAATATGGACCAAAATCTCTGAGGAATATTTTCAGTGCCTTGTTGAATCTATGCCATGAAGGATTGAGGCAGTTCTGAAAGCAAAAGGGGGTCCAACCCGGTACTAGTAAGGTGTACCTAATAAAGTGGCCAGTGAGTGTATGCTGTATTATATTTAAGATTCTAAAAGTGACATATTCTGGAAAATTACTGAAAACTTCGGTTTCAGACTTATCAAAAATGAATCCATGTGAATGGTTCAGATACAAGACAGACCACCGAGTGTGGCCATAAAGGCACAGTTTACATTTGCATATAAAACATATTCACACATACAGCGGAGCAGCCATACAATTTCCTAAAATTTAAAGTCACTGCTTAGTTCTATGTGATGTTATCCATATTTCATGAGTTTTATATATATATATATATATATATATATATATATATATATTCTGAAGCACAGTAAAGGTTTTTGCACACTTATAGTAGTCTGAATTTTTCATGCGTTTTTTTCATTTTGATTATCTTAAAAATTAGTCATGTTCATAAACCTTGCACACTTAGTTCAATGCATATTAATGAATCTTTTGCAGAAAAAAAATACAAAAAGTAATCTTCACGCGGTGATGCTTGTGTTCTCCTCTTTCTTCAGAAAAGACAAAGAATGTCTATTGAATTGAATGGATTCTAAACAAAGATTGGCAGTATGTCAAAAGTAGGGAAACACACACACACCAAACAGCGGCACGGGAAAGGTGGATCCAGACATTGAATACAGTATACAGTAGGCTACAGCTACACAATATTATACACAACAAAAGTCTTATATTCTGCACTTTGTCATAATGTGCTCTGTGCTGCATGATGAAGTGGTTTAGTTCATCAGACACCATTGTAGACTTTGAGTGAAGTTTAGATGGGATACAGCTGCAGATATATCAGTATAGCATCATTTTTGTGGCACTGTAAAACAATAATTAATATTTTTTACAGTAAACTGTGAGGGTTGAGATAGACATTAATAAACTACATTTAATGGGTAGATTAAAAAATAATAATAAATCATTCTTGTTAACTTCCGACTGCAGCTGTATCTTTTCTTGCAACAACTAGACTTCAGCTTTGCTTGGATGGTATATATATATATATATATATATATATATATATATATATATATATATATCTTTTAACAGACAAAAGTTTTGGAGGCAGTGTGTAAACACGATTGACAACTTAAGGTTGAATTATTTTTTTAATGTGTGAAAATTATGGACAAAAATGTCAGACTTGGTGTTCAATGAACTTAACAGGGTAACACCCCATTCACACAGGGTGTCAGCCTTAATGCTAATCATAAATGTTGAATGGAGTGACGTCAAGCACTGCTGAACTGAATTGTGAGTCTGTTGAGTCACATTGGCTCAATTGCTCATGGCAGAAGTTGAAAACTTTTCAACAAGGTTCATACACATTTTGACTGCTAAATTCCAAAACTTTTCCAGAACTTGCAAGTACATTTTCATGACGTAATCTTTTATGTAATTACTACATATACATAGTAAATAATGAGAAAAACAATTATTTTAAATTTAAATTATTAAATTTATTACAGCATATCATAGAAGACGCAACAATCTATTATGTTTCAAGAGTTCCCACTTAGATATGCTCAGCATTAATAGCAGGTTTGGCATGCTGTCCCGGGAGAGAACCCTGAGCTTGGAGATACTTGAGCCCAAGGATCCCGCCCAGTCAATAAGCATAATAAGGGGATCTAAGATCAGATTGGTCTCGAGAGCTCCCCCTTAGAAAAGGGAGGAAAAGGTGGAGATGGGGTGGAAGGGGGCATTCTTCCAAAACGAAGATAGAGCAGTAGGGAGAAAACAATCCATTTATAGTCACTCTGATTTGATTATTACTGATAACAGATGAGAAGCCAGTCTACTAAATCATATCACATGCTCCTCTTGAAATTAGTTTGTGAAACTTCACTTGAATTGGTTTTTATATCCATGTACATTTTTGATAATGCTTATACAGCACTAACAATGTGAGAGCAAGTTTTTGGTCAAGGACAGAAAAGAAGTAAAGACAACTATCCTCTAGTCAAATTAGGGCTGCACAAAATATCGTTTCAGCATCGATATTGCAATGTGTGCATCCGCAATAGTCACATCGCCGGATATGCAATGTTGGGATTATAGTTTAATATAGAGTTTAATCATAAAGGAGTAAAAGTTTATCATCTGCATGGATTTTTAAAGAGATAGTTTACCCAAAAATTACTTATTATTTTCAGTAAACTCTTCACTTGTTTCAAACATTCATGAGTTTTCTTTTTTTTTTTTTAATGAACACAAAAATAATTTAATTTAATAACTCCTATATTATTGAAACAAGTGAAGTGTGAGTAAATAGTAAGTACATTTTAATCTTTCAATTCTGGGAGTTTTCCAGGAGACAGAACAATACGGGAGATGGGCGAGAGATGGGTCTGAATGTGACTGTGTGAACATTTCAATATTTCAAACACATTTTAAAACATTCGGCCACAAGAAAAGTTTTGTAACTTTAATTAAGATTAAATCATATTCAATGAATACTATACAGTGGTAATTATTCAATATCTGTACCTGAATAGTGAATCATTGAAAACTATAATTCACTTTTATCTTTACAATTTTTTTTTTATTTATCTATGCTTGTCATTTATTTGTTTTATATTATTCAAAATTCACACCTCTACAAAAATCCCCACAATAAATCAAAATAAACCTGTTAAATCATCTGGTGAAATTGTATTCACATCACAATATATATCACAGAAATACAAAATATTGTAATGTTAGATTTTTCCAATATTGCGCAGCCCTGATTGAAGTATACAGATATTTGATAATTTTCATGACTTTTCCAAAACTTTGTGGGATTTTCTGTTTTTCCAAAACTTTTCTAGGCCTGGAAAATGCCATGTTAAAATTCTTTGACTTTCCAGGTTTTCCATGACTGTATGAACCCCGTTTCAAGCACCAACGCAGATTTCAAATACTTCAAATATTTCAGATTTCAAATATTCAAATACTACGCTAGAGAAGTCAGAGAGTAGCAGTATGTCAAAATAGAGAAAAATCTTCTTATAATGATTAGTAATCAACCGGTGCTTTATGATCAATCCTGATATACATCTTTATACACTTTTATTACTAAAGGCTGTCGATTGATCAATGTGACCCATAGTGCAAGCTTTGTGCATAGCCTTGGATTAACAGTATACCTCTGCACGCTGTTTGTGTTACTCTGCAATAACAATTTCGAAATGCTAGTAGCCAGTAGGCTTTAAGTTCCTCTGTGTGGAGTTTCCTCACTGGCATTTTGTTTTTTTCTGAATACTACAAGTAGCTAAATCATTCAGAGGCGGGAACTGGAGGACGGGCAGCAACTTTAATCAAAAGGTAAACAGAAAACAAAAGTTTCCAACAAGAGCTTCCAACGAGAGACTTGTAAACAATCGCTCCATTGGGCTTGCAGCTCTTAGAACCACCCACACTCGTCCCCGTTACCAAACCAACATATCACAGAGATTGCGTTACGCATCATTGCGACGTGTAGTTATATTTAACAATGCAGAAGTATAAATCAGCTTTAATTCTGTGTCCTTTTTTTGAGTCGTGCTCCAAGCTGTATGTGATTGGCTGTTGTCTCTATTATGATCACATCAAAGTGAAGCTTCAGACACGCTCTCTGTTAAGCCTTAGCTTCAATGCCAATGGTGCAAAGGGGGCGTAAGGATCTATATCTCTGCATATTCGCCTGCAGAGACCAAACCTCTCACCAGCAGAAAGAATCGAATGTCGATTGCTGAAAAGCATGTTTTATGGAAAGAGACCCTGTCCAAAGTTCACTTTAATGATGAAAGCCAGTTTAATTTGGGTTGGATCATTGTGTTTGTTGGTAAACTGAGGAAAGATTGAACCTAAAGTGTAGTCAATGAAAGGTGCAGGTGCAGTGTCATGTTTTGGGAGATGTTTCCTGCAGGGGGAGTTTGACCTCTTAGGCAAAGTGATGGCAGCAGAGACTGTAGTTAGCCAGTACATCCAAAGGGTCATTAAGATCATGAGGAATCCAAAACCACTCAACAGTGTCTAAACTTTTGGCTAAATTCAGCCTCTACACATACTGTATGAAGCCGCCTATAACAGAAGTTGTCTTGAAGGTGTGATCAATGTGATTGTCAGACACTCAGGTGCATCCTGCCACGAGAGGTGTTGTTTGGCTTTGTCTACAGCATACCTGTTACAGCAGATGGCCAAGAGAAGTTGTTTCATTACCGCTGTATCCTAAGGGTTCTCAATCGATTGCCTCTCTCTTCCTCCTTCTCCATCTTGGCTTATATTACTAGCAGTGTATCTGACACACAGGAAATAGAAGGTCAATCAGACTGGAGCAAAATGTAGAGTGCACATCCCACCAGCATCTAAATAAACACTGAGATTTTCCTAAAGTACTGAGAATATTTCATTCATAGCCATTAAATATGCCAAAACCAGTTTATAGGTCATCTGCACTCATAAGCTCTGAGAAAGCTCCATTTATTAAATATAATTATGAAATGTATGTACACCGTTCATTTACAGTATTCATATAGAAAAGAAAAACAGCCATACAATTCATTCTCAATAGAAAGCAAGTTTGTTGTTGTTGATCTAGTCACGAGATATAATGCACTTCAGTAAGGACAGATTTCGCTCCAGTTGCGAGACCGGCTCGATTACGATGGGAAAGAGAATTAAACTGCCTGAATCTGGCCAGCCCATGGGAATCTGGATACACACAAATGACTCATATTCAATCCCTCAGCCGCTGCTGATATATTCTTATGGTCCTTTGGTGATTAATCCCAGCCTCTGCACCAGTCAATAGTTTCAACATCAAAATGTGAGGCTGTCGGATGCGGACGTCTTTAATCTTTTGTTTTTGTGGACATGTTGAGCGATGATCGATCCTTTAAAAACAACGTCTGGGAAGGTCCACCGCCCTACCACAAAAAGCATTCTCTCAGAATCCAATCCGCTGGGGTTTCAGTCCATTAGCTTAAGCCCGGGCTCTGAGACAGACAGGTTTGAGCAGGCACACTGGATAAAGACAATTCAGTGATGCTTCAGGCCTCCTGCTGCGCTGTTTGCCTGGAAAGTGTGTGCGCTGTGCATGTATAACCTATTATTATGCCTGTAAAATAACAATATACAGCTCTGACACCTTCCAGACGGCTGGCACACAGCACTTTCATGTAAGCTTTACCCTCTTTGTAGAAAATAAGCAAATAAACAAAACGTCTCGAGTTGTAGTTTCTTGTGCCCCAGACTGTGGAGACATTGCCGGCCTCTGATTGGCTGCTCAGCCTGCAGTGTAGGTAATACAGTGCGGTGGGGTTGTTAGCATGTACACTGGTGACCGGCTGTTCGATTAAAGACCAAGCTTGACATGAAGAGGTCAGATGTAGTATTCTTTGCTGTCATGGTGGGGTTTGTGCAGGTCCAGTGCAGCTCGATAAGGTGGAGGCTCAATGCTGGGGCGATGCATCTTTCCGGTGATTCCGGAAGGCGCTGGAGTCCGTCGGTGTCGGTATAGGAAGCGGATGATGAAGGCCAGTGCACAGAGTGTGATGAACACCACTGCGGCCACTACTCCTGGTCATTAAATAGATCAAGATGTGGAAATTAGTGATGCACATGGTTCCTTTAGAATCAAAGCATGCTATATATAAAATTCACATACAGATTTTTTTTCTTAAAATGTGGTTTGGATGAAATGGTGTGGATTTGGATCTCATGAATCCAGCATCTAAAGTTAAATTCATGCCAAGTGCCAAATGAAAGTAAAAACTGCTGTTGGAAACTGCTATTCATCAGTCAGATGGTTATATTATTATTAATTCTAATAATGCCTTAGAAGCCAGTATGATTTATTGCAATTTTTATAATGCAAAAAACGTCATAAGACATTAATATCAGATTTAATTTAGATCACCAATGTCTAAAGACAATGGTATTTTGACGTCCAATAACAATGATATTTGGTTGATTTTAGGTTGTGTTGAAAAAGGGACCAAAATCCAACGTTGAGTCAACATCTTAAACCAACGTCGTATTGACGTCAAATACTGACATTTATTCGTCAGGTATGGCAACCAAAATCCAACATCTGATAGACTTCATATTGGTAACGTTCACACAACATCAAGCTTTAACATCATTAGATGTTGATATTTTGTTGTTTTTAAGTTGCGTTGGAAAGTAATCAAAATGCAACATCTGTTTGATGTTGGACACTGACGTCTGCCAGATGTTGGGTTTTGATGTCGACCGAATTTTAACTTGCAAACAAAATGCAAAGTCCCACGATGTTGGGGTGGAATATCAATCTGACATTATGTTGATGTCCTGTGTCTGCTGTGGTACTAGGATTTTTTTCACATGAGCAGCTCATTATAACAGTGTTTTTAGTGTCTTGGAGAAGACAGTTTAATAAGATTTATTTGATTTGACTTGACACTACTACTACTACTCTTACTACTACTAATAATAATAATAACAACTACAGCAATAATAATAATAATAATAATAATAATAATAATAATAATAATATAAACTGCAATCAAAAGGATTTCCTCAAAATGCTTATTTTTAAGGCCACCTATGATGCAAATCATCTTTTGTAAGCTGTTTAGACAGAACTGTGTATAGAGTGTGTCCACAGTCATATTGGAATGTTTTTATTTTTAATTTCCTGATATTAAAATAGGATCCAAATCTTTCCCATTTTGAGGCCCACCACAACGTGATGTAGGAGTACAATTTCCCCGCCCACCGAATTGACAGACAGCCACGTATTGACATGTCTTTGTAGTAACACGTATAATCATATCAACAAGACAGTTTGATTGACCTTCTAGAGTAAAGCAACTGGGATTAAAAGAAACCATTATCATCAAAGGTGATCAAGAATGAGTTTTAAAAGTTTAAAACATTTTTTTAAACAGTTCATGTTTGTAATTAATCACAGCGATTTTACCTTCTTTACTTTATCACCACAGCAGCATGTCAGTACAATTATAAACGGAGACGCTAATCCCAGATCGTGGATGTTATATCAGGTTTTTTTTTATATTAACAAAACGGATACCCATACAGCAGTGGATATTAACGTGTATCCTGTCACATTTGCCGTGCAAAAATAGTGCAAAGGTAAAAGCGCGCTCAGAATGTGTGTGTGAAATTTGTAACAATATTTTGTGCAACTTATCGAAAGGCTTGAATTAACTCCACTGCAAATCCATCAAATAATCATTGGAAAAGTTCTTGCTGTAGTATTTCTCACAATCTTTACGTGAGATCTGCTTCTGTCTGTCACTGTGCTGTTTATCTGACAAAGACGAGGCCGAGATTGAGGCACACTCTGACAGGCACATGGGATCAGTGGGCGGGGAAAACTAGGATTAATGATACAGGCCACAAAACAGCTATATTGTGTTCAGAGCAGAAAATTCTAATATTCTGAAAGGTATAATAAATAATCTGATGGCTGTTTTGAGTTGAAACTTTACAGACACATTCTGGAGACACAAAAGACTTATCTTACATCTTGAAAATAGGGTAAAATAGGTGCCCTTTTAATAATGCACACACAGTTTCATGGCGGTATCAGTCATCGACCACTGGCAAAATGTTAGTTTTAGGTCCTGCATCTTGAGAATGAATGGAAGATGTATTAAAATAGTGACTGCTTTACAATGCAGTGAAAACAACATGAAATAAACCTTCTGACATAAACGCTAAAGATGGATGAGGCTGTACAGTTTAATCTCCGAGGATGCTCTATTACTTGTCAGATCTGAGTATTGTTTTGAAAAGTTTTTCCCAGAGCACGTTATCATGGGATCTATACCTCCGATTAGTGCCAAGTCATTCTGATCTGCCTTTTTCGGTGGGTCTTTGCCTCTGTCGGATTTTGCAGAGTCATCTGTTAGCAGGGAACAAGAGGAACACAATGAACTGCTTTAGTGATTTTTCTCAGATGAATATATGCTGTCTTTATCCGTTAGTCTTTTTGCAGGGTGGAAACTTTAAAGGATGATTTACCTGAACGTATGTGTGTATCGCTTAAAGTGTTTGGGCTGGATATCGTTCCACAACTTGATGCCTCCAGATGGCCGATAACAGTAACTAAAGGGCTGTTTTGCAAGGCTGCCTTCAGAGGGGTTGCCTGATTAAACTGAACAGAGGACAAGCAGCCAATAAACCCTCTCAATCCAGCCTGGACCAGTTCCTTATCGGTGATGTCACTACCTGAAACATGAAAAAAGATGTAAGCAACTAAACTGATGAATGAAATACAAGTTAAAACCAGAGATGCACGAAATGTTTGGGTGGAAAAAAATACTTGGCCGAAAACGGCATTTTCTCTCTGTCTGAAAGAGAATGATTTTGCCAAGTACCATACGATCCTGGATTAACATTTATGTTGATCCTGGAACATCAATTTTGTTGAAAATGTAATCCATAGCTATTCCCAACCCCTAAACCCAGGCATAACTGTAAATTATTCCCAAAATCAAAGAGAAATAATAGTTGGATAACAATCACGTTGAAGTGCATAAACCTAACCGCATACCCTTAACATAAATGGTAAACATATCCCTCAATTCTGATTGGAATGTTGTTCCAGGATCAACATAGATGTTAACCCAGGAACATGTCCTACTTGGTGAAATCAGGTTGGCGAAATTATAAGCTGTGAGATGCAGTATGAAACCCATTCATTTCAATGGCTTGAGCGACACAAGTGCCATTTATTTTATTTATTTTCTTTTTTTTTGCCAAATGTAAGTATAGCGGAGTGCACTAGCCTACTGGCACAACATGGTCAAATTTCAAAGTAGCTCAATATGCTTCTCCGTGGATATTTCGCTTATGGACGCACATATATACATAAACTGAACATGGTCATCTGAAAACAAAGTTCGCTCAAATAACACACTGAATTAACATTTGTATGTAGCATGCTTGGTCTTGCTTCTTACAATTGAACTACTGAGCTGTCAGTGTAACACTGGTAAAATGGCAGGCAAAAACTTGTTTACTGGTTTGTGTTTTTAAAATCAGTGTAATTTAAGTTACTGAGTCAAATTTACTTAAAAATTTGACTTTAAGTCTTACAAAATTACTTATCAATTTTATTTTACTATTAATTAAATATGAAATAATAATTCTAAAGCATTTTCTATTTTCAGCCAAGTGCATCTAGAGTAGGGATGGGGTTACTCAGTCCTGGAAGGCCAGTGTTCTGCAGTGTTTAGCTCCAACCCTAATCCTAAACACACTTGAACATGCTAATCATTGTCTTAAAGTTCATTAGAAAACTATAGGCAGGTCTGTTTGAATAGGGTTGGAGCTGAGCTTTGCAGAACAGCGGCAATTCCAGAACCAAGTTTGCCCATTTCTGATATAAAGGTTTTGCCCCAGAATTTTCATTTCAGTGCATCCCTACTTAAAATGAAAAATTTGCCACAAATTTTATTATACCCTCCATTCCATTTCTAAATTTGTAATTCATTGATTCATTCATTTTCCTTCAGCTTAGTCCCTTTTTTTCATCAGGGGTCACCACAGCAGAATGAAACCGCAAACTTATCCAGCATATGTTTTACAAAGTGGATGTCCTTCCAGCTGCAACCCAGTACTGGGAAACATCCATTCACACTCATTCACACTCATACACTACAGCCAATTTAGTTCATTCAATTCACCTATAGCCAACAAACTACAGCCAGCTTAGTTCATTCAATTCACCTATAGTGCATATCTTTGGACTGTGGGGGGAACCGAAGCACCCGGAGGAAACCCTTCAAACACGAGGAGAACATGCAAACTCAATGCAGAAATGTCAGCTGGCCCAGCCAGGACTTAAACCAGCAGTCTTCTTGGTGTGAGGCGACAGTGCTAACCACTGAGCCATCTTGTCACCCAAAATTGTAATTATAATAATCTTATTTCTTCACAAAAGAAGATAATTTTAAGAATGTTGTTAACTAGTCTGATGATGGCAACCACTATCTTTATTGTAATTTTCCCCTATTATATGAGTCAATGGTTACTGTATTGTTATTTACATTTTTATTTTATCGGTAACACTTTACAATAAGGTTCATTAGTTAATGCATTTACTAACATGAACTAATCATGAACAACACTTGTACAGCATTTGTTAATCATAATTGAACATTTACTCATGCATTATTAACATCCAATCTCATGCTTGTTAACATTAGTTAATGCACCATGAGTTAACATGAACTAACAATGAACAACTGTATTTTCATTAACTAACGTTAACTAACATGAACAAATACTGTAGTAAATGTATTGTTCATTGTTTGTTCATGTTAGTAAATGCATTAAGTAACATTAACTAATGAACCTTATTGTAAAGTGTGACCTTTTATCTTAATATATATTAGAGTTCAACAGGTTTTTCATTTTTTGGTAAAACCGTGGTACAGTGAAGGACATTTAGGATGAATAAAAATTAAAAAAAAAAAAAAAAAACATTTGTATGCAGTAGAAATCTTGTTTAAGTTACGAAGTCCCAGCTGAATAAAAGAATGAAAAACACCACCACCACCAACAACTAACTGATCACAAACTTTTAACTGAAAGTGTATTATTAAGCCATTTGTTGGTTGCTTCTCATGATAAACTGGAGCTAAAAAAGTGCTTAAACTCTTCATCTGACTAAAGGCTGGTTTATACTTCTGTGCAAAGTGATCGGCGTGACCCACGGTGCCTGCCTTGCGTGATGCCGTGCATTTATACTTTGGTGCGCTGTTTGTGTTGCTCTGTAATAACACTTCTAAAATGCTAGCTGGCAGTAGGTTATGTTATGTTCCTCCGTATAGAGTTTCTTCACAGGTGTTTTGTTCTTTCTGAATGATACCTTAATGCACAAGTAGCTAAAGCTTGCTCATTCAGAGATGGGAACCGGTTGACGTGCAACAACGTTAATCATAAGGTAAACACAAAACAAAAGCTTCTATCTGTAAACACTCGCTCCATCAAGCTTGCGGCTTTCAACATCGCCCACAGTCGTCACATATACCAAGCTGACCAATCACAGAGCTTGCGCCATGCATCCGTGCGATGTGTAGTTACATTTTTTTAAGACGTGCGTGTCAGCCACGGCGAGGGCTATGCGACTGGGAGATGGCTGCACCGATCATACGCATGTGATTGACGCAGAAGTATAAATCAGCCTTCATAGGAGACAAGGAGAGTCTTTTATTTTTGTAGCAATTACTTTTAGAGATGTCAGTGGCATATAAATTAAATTATCGCACCTTTAACTGAATTCATAGTCAACCGGTAGACTGTTTATAAAACCAAAAGAACAGACAGAATCACACAAGTGACCTCTAATCTGCTTAATAACCTTTTAACAAGCTTCATTATTATATTTCACAAGTCTGTCTTTGAGTGTCTAAAAGCCTTTCTTAAACTGAATAAATCAAACACATTCAGCGCTGGTTCCTTTTCTACTAGGCGTCAGTAATGACTAATGAGCTTAAAAGGGGTTTGTTGCAAGTTGTGCAGAGTGCTTTATTGCTAATTTGTCTTAAATGTTCTCTCCCCTCAATCAAAGCACTGAGGTTCATGCCATTTGCAAGCCCTCATCGTTTCTTATCAGGTAAAAAGAAACGGTCTCCCGGGCAACACTGAGAAATTGCATTTGGCTTTCACTTGGCAATTCACCTGTGACGGTGCTGTCAAAAGTCTGTACAACGTACCTCTTCCTCCCAAACCCAGACAACCAACCCCCCCCTCATCTTAACCTGCCTGAATTCAAACACCTGACGCCACATCAATGAAATAGAAATGTGTGAAACGGCACACAAGGAACATGAAGGAATAGAGTCCTCTTCAAAAGCCTGTCAGAAACTCACCTTGGATTCTCCCCAAAATCACCGACCTCACCGGGCTGAGAGCAGAGCCAGGAGACAGGCTGTACTGCTGGGTTATTGTGTTGTCAATCTACAAGAGCACAGATATGATGGCAGATTACTCGGAAAGTATTGATGCCAATATTGCATTTGAATCAGGCATGCAAAATGGGTCTCAGGTCAATATGACATACTTTCAGGAGACCTTCAAAAATAAAAAAAATTATCAGACAAATATGTACAAAGTCAAGTAAAATCCCTTTAAATACTGTTTCAAGAGTTCACACTTAGCTGATGATTTATTATAAAGCGTGTTTGGCATTCTGTCCTGTGAGAGAGCCCTGAGCTCATAAGATCCTCTAGCCCCAGGCTTCCTCCCGTTTGCAGGGCGAAAGGGGAGTTTGATCTCAGCTAGGTCTCGGGAACTCCCCCGATTGCTTATTTATAGCTAATGGCAATTAGGGATGCTAATTAAGAGCTCATCAATGGTGCCAATTTGCCTTAGTCAATACATTTATGTTGCACGTCTTGAGACTGTAGGAGGAAACTAGGAAACCTGGGGGAAACCAACGTGAGAAGGACATGGAGAGCATGTAAACTCCACACAGAAACGTCTACTGGCCAAGTAAGGACTTAAACCAGAGACATTCTTGCTGTGAGGCAACAGTGCTAACCAATGGGCTGCCATCCCACCCTGTCAAGAAAAAGGGGTAGGAGTAGGGGTGCAAGGAAGGATTCTTCAAGACGAAGATAACTAAGGTAAGAAACTCTAGTTATTTGTAGTGAGTTAGGAATCATCTGTTACTAATAAGGGATAATTCGTGGTCAATCATAAGCACGTGACTCTCCGGAAATTAGTTTATAAATAAACTTCACATAATAGCAGATTCCAATATTGTATTTCAATTAGAAATGGAAAATAAATTTCAGCTTTCTATTACATAATTCTAAAAGGATCATTTGTAAGTTACAAGAGCTTTAAAATCTCAGATATGTTACTGGACACGTATGCAGAAAGTCATGTATTGGAGGTAACTGAAACCCCCTTTTGATAAAAGACAGGCTTGTTCTGCTGGGTTATTGTGTTTTCAGTCTACAAGAGCACACATTTGATGGCACATTACTCTGAAAATACTGACTCAAATATTGTATTTGAATACAGCATGGAAAATGGGTTTCGGGTCAGCATGACATTGCTTTAATGCACATCATTTGTGTTAAGACCTTTAAAATCTCAGATATGGTACTGGACATGCATGCAGAAAGCCATGTGTTGGAGCTAACTCAAAACCCCTTTCGATTAAATGGCAAATAGGCATCTTAATACAAATAAAAAATACATCTCAGCTTACTATGACATGGATTTAGGAGCATCATTTATGTTACAAGGCCTTTAATATATCAGATACAATATTGGAAAAGCATGCAGAAAGTCAAGAGTCGGAGGTCACTTAAAACTCCCTTTGATATAATGGCAGATAACTTACAAAAACTGATACAAATATTGCATTTAAACGAGACATGGATGATACATACTGTATAAGGTCACTATGACATTAGGAGCATCAAGACCTTTAAAGCCACAGATAAGCTATTAAACAAGCTTGTAGTAAGTCAAGTATTGGTAGCCAATGGCAACCCTCTTCTGATACAGTATAATGGCAGATAACTTAGAAAAAAGTGATACTAATATTGAATCAGCCATAGAAAATATAGTTTGGGTCACCATGACATGCTTTTGGAAGCACCATTTGTATATTACAAATAAAATCTAAGATAAGTTATTAAGTTATTAAGTAATGGAGATGTCTCAAAACCCCTTCAGATGTAATGACAGATAACTTGGAAACATACAAATTGGAATCAGGCATGGAAAATACATCCACGGTCACTATGACATGGATTTAGGAGCATCTTTTATTTGACAAGACCTTTAAAATCTCAGATAAGTTATCAGATAAGCTTGAGGAAATCAAGTTTCGACAGTCACTGAAAACCGCTTTAGATATAATGACAGATACAAAACCTGATACCAACATTGCAATTGAATCATGGGAAATACATCTCGGGTTACGATGACATGCTTTTATAGGAGCAATATTTGTATGTTAAAAGATCTTTAAAATCTCAGGTAAGTTATCAGACGAGCACATAGAAAGTCAAGTACTTTAAAGCCCTTTAGAAATCAGATACTGGCCATTGTGTTAACATCTGTTGCTATGGAGAGAAAGGCTCACCTGAACAAGGAGCTCCTGTCCTTTTCGATTGATTTTGACCCAGTGGAAGCGTCCGTCTGCTAGACTGCCTGACTTTGGGCTGAACATCTCAGTCCTTTTTTCTTTATTCATCAAGTATCGTATTTGCAGGCTGCCTGGGAAATCAGAGAAAAGCTATTGACTTTAAATAAGATATGTGTTTGAGATGATGAATGCAACATGACATGAAGTAACGTTTTGCATTTCAAGCTCCGACAGGACCCTAATGTAAAGTGTTTCTGTTTCTACATTAAGGGTTTTGTGATAATGAGATCCTTTTGTGTGGCTAAATTGTAGCAATAATTTATGGCTATCAAATGAATTAAATGCACAATGTGGAGACAATGATCCACTCAATGCACAGACTGTGTTTAGCTTTTTGTTATGAGAGTTTATTAGGTTGCACCTTATTTTGATAGTCCATTTGAGAATTAGTAGACTGTCTACCTAATATTTGTTGATACTGAACCTTCAGCAGACATTTAACTGACTATAAGTCCATGTCAAGTACATGCTAACACTAACCCTAACCCCAACCCTAATTCCAACCCAACAGTCTACTTATAATCTAATGAGAATTACTTGGCATGTATATGCAATGCAGCTTAAATTCAACAAATGGACCATCAAAATAAAGTGTGTTTATTTTTACAACCCCAAATTAGAAATAGTTGGGACAGTATGAAAAACACAAATAAAAAAAATAAATAAAAAAATCTATATTTACTTTGACTTGACTTTGCAGCTTTATGTTAACATTGTCAATTGACAGTGCCGTCAACTTCTCTGGGCACGGAGGCATCTAGGATGGACCATCACACAGAGGAAACATTGTATTGTGGTTAGATGAATCAGTATTTTAAGGTATTTTTTAGGAGAAATGGACACTTTGTTTTGCCCACCTTAAGACTTGTTTGCATGAAGAAAGGGACAAAATTACACCTGAAACACGTAATCACTTAGTGTCTTTAATCCCTAAACATCTTTTAAGTGTTGGCATCATTACAAAGTGGTAAATGTTTTACTGTTCCAACTTTTTATGAAATGTGTAGCTTGAACTAAAATTTAAATATTTATAATATTTTTTATATTTGTATTTTAAAAACAAAAACAAACAAATAAAAATCAAGAGGAACATAATTTAATGTTTGTTGTATTGTGTGCAATGAAATATAAGCCAAAGTAAATTTAGAAATCACTACATTCTTTTTTATTTGCGTTTTCCGTACTGTCCCAACTTATTATGATTTGGGGTTATATATCTAAACATTAATAGCATTCTAATGTAATAGTTAATGTTCTGTTATTACTGTAAACTTGCACAAATAGTATGGGTCTTTACATACACTCACCTGCTTCTTTATTAGGTACACCTTACTAGTACCGGGTTGGAGCCCTTTTGCCTTCAGAACTGCCATAATCCTTTGTGGCATAGATTCAACAAGCTACTGGAATAATTTCTCATAGCTTTTGGTGCATATTTGCATGATAGCAGCACACAGTTGCTGTAGATTTTTTCGGCTGCACATCTATAATGCTCACTGGATATTTTCTCGGTCACTTTTTATTTTGATGGTCCGTTTTTGAATTTAAGTTACATTGCATCTACATGCCAAATAATTATCATTACATTATAAGTAGACTGTTAGGTTGGGGTTAAGGTTTGTGTAAGTTGACATGTACTTGACATGTACTTATAGTCAGTTAAATGTCTGTTGAAGGAGCAGCATCAACAGATATTAAGCAGACAGTCTACTAATACTTAAATGGCCTATCAACATAAAGTGTTACCATTTTCTCTTTTTCGAACCATTCTCTGTAAACCCTTGAGATGGTTGTGCATGAAAATCCCAGTAGATCAACAGTTTCTGAAATACTCTTCTGGCACCAACGACCATGCCACATTCAAAGTCACTTAAATCACCTTTTTCTCCCCATTCTGATGCTCGGTTTAAACTGCAGCAGATCGTCCTGACCATGCATTGAGTTGCTGCCATATAATTGGCTGATTAGAAATTTGGGTTAAAGAGTGGTTGAACAGGTGTACCTAATAAAGTGGCCAGTAAGTGTAGATTACAACAATAGCTGTATGTATGTATGTATGTATATATATATATATATATATATATATATATATATATATATATATATATATATATATATATATATATATATGTGTGTTCAGAAAAATCACTGTTTGTTTATTTTTTAAGCATTTTGTACCTCTGCTGTAAAACTTCAAAATTAACGAACTTTCATTGCTGTGTGCTATAAAATCCCTACTGAGTGCACCTGCGCTTTCAGAAATAGACAAATAAACAGACTATTCTTTGTAAGTTAATTAATTGTCATTTCACTGCAATTAGCAATTTGTGAATTTGGAACGCTTGAACATGCTTGTCATTTGGGATAACAGGACCAAGCAAGTCTTGAGATCACCTCTGCACTTGAAAAAGTTCTCATGTGAATCATCATTTCCCTTGTAGGTGTAACATGACTACCTGATCTGCACCAATATCAGCTGAAAAAGAGGCATGAAAGAGTTCTTTAAATTGCAATTAGAGACCATGGTTGCAAGAGTCTTTAATTAAGATGCCATGTAATCCTTAGGAAAAGGTGCAATGAGTGAGAAAAGAGTTTGCATGCATGTGTATTTAATGAGTATGTTTGAATTTCAAGAGGTGGCAGGTTATAAGGCTTTATGGCAGTAAGAACGATGCAGGGTGTGAATTAAAAAACAGGTTCTTTCCTTGATTACTTTTAAAACTAAAGGAAAGATGTTGATCTTTGACTTCTTAGTCAAAACTAAGGACTGGATTAAGTAAATGTAGGATGTATTGAAATTTTTCAATGTGGCATTCAAAACATAATGTTACAAAAGATTTAAAGTAAGTCCTTCACCTCTGTCTATTTCACAATTTTTGTTTTATCAGGCATTTTTAAATGTTTAGATTCAGTATTTTTACTTTAAATAAAAGCTTAGTTAGTGACTGAAATGCCTAATTTTAATCTAGCAAAGTACAGTTACTAAACCTTAACATAACTGAACCAAACATTCAAAAAAAAAAACAACAAAAAAAAACATATACATCCTACATTAACTATTCAGATTGACTAATGAGATGACTGTGTATTAAATCTGCACAGAATACATACACTTTGCCAGAATAACACTACTGTTTACATGTAGTAATATGAAAGACACTGTAAGTATACTGTAAAGAATTATTGGTGCCTTAATTTGTTTAGTTTAATCAAATGAACTTTTCTAGTTACTTCAGCTTACAACAAGCAAATGGACTAAAATAAGTTAAATTTCATTTCATTTAAAAAATCCAGTTTACACCTGATTAACCTTGTTCATGTATTCATTTTCTTTTTAGCTAGTCCCTTAATTAATCAAGGGTCACCACAGTGGAATGAACCGCCAACTTATCCAGCGTATGTTTTACGCAGCGGATGCCCTTCCAGCCGCAACCCAACACTGGGAAACACTCATACACTCTTTCATTCACACACATACACTACGACCAATTTAGTTTATTCAATTCACCTTTAGCGCATGTCTGTGGACCGGAGCACCTGGAGGAAACCCATGCCAACACAGGGAGAACATGCAAACTCATAAGAGAAATGCCTGACCCACTGACCCACCCGAGGTTCGAACCAGAGACCTTCTTGCTGCAAAGCAATCATGCTACTCACTGCACCACTGTGACAACCACCTGATTAACTTAATAAAATTAAAGTAACATAAAAACATGTCTGTAAATATTTTTAAGTGTACTAATTTCACACTTATCTTCAAAAAGCTCACCAGATCTAAATGGATCATTTTAATGACCTATTTTGATTTCATAATGGTACATTTTAATATTGAGTTAATTGGGTTATCAGGTTAATTTACGTGGTCACAATTTACTGGTATTGCAAAAACCATGATATTTAAATAAAACAACACGGAAAAAAAATAGTGCCACTATTGATAGAGGAAAAAAAAATTGCAATATGTTGTTAACAGTGTTGGGTGTATCGCCTTAAACAGTAACACTTTACTATATTCTAATAACATTTTTGGGAAACTCAGTAATACTTTAGTGTAATTTGATTACAGTTACTAAAGTCAGTGTAATTGCGTTACAAATTTAGATTTTCTAAAACAATATTTGCCTTTTAAAATCACTATTTCAGCTGCAACGTCAATGCTGGAGAACATAAGTTGTAATAGCTACTGACGACAGTGGTTGCTTCTTCGAGTGGAAATACAGACATTACATTTATTTCAGTAAGCGTAAAAACAAAGGTATTACTCTGAACTGCAGTTTATGTCCAGTCTCTAAAGAACTTTCAACTAAAGAACCAGACCAGCAATTTGAACAGAAAGTATTCTCGGACAATACTCGTTACCATGGAGGTACCTAAAGCCTGGTGAACACTTCTGCGTAGAGTGATCGGTGTGACCCAAGCCGCATGCCTTGCACGTTGTCATGCATTTATACTTCTGCTTGAGTTGGCCGGCAATAACACTTCCTAGCTGGCAGTGAGGTTTTTATGTTACTTTGTGTCAAGTTTTCTCACTGGTGTTTTGTTTTTTCTGAACACTATCTAATGTAGAAGTAGCTCAAACTCACTTATTGTGAGGCGGGGACCGGAGGACTTGCAACAAACTTTAATCATGAGGTAAACACAAAACTAAAGTTTCCATCTGGAGCTCCTTCACCGGACTCCACATTAGTAAACACTCGCTTCAACGGGTTCGCATGGCTCACATTCCCACCCACACTCATCAGTGATATCAAGCCGACCAATCACAGTGCTTGCATGTCCTTGTTGTGACATATAGTTGCATTTTTTAAAGGGTGCGCAATGGCCACGGCGAGGGCTATGCGTCCACAGCAAGGGTGCGCCGGTGTGCTTGATGCAGAAGTATGAATCAGCCTTAACCCTAATCCTAAACGGCTATATATATATATATATATATATATATATATATATATATATATATATATATATATATATATATATATATATATATATTTTTTTTTTTTGTGCAGGATTGGTAAGGTAAGGTAACATCTAAAAGTGTAAAAAGAAGCATAGGAGCTTATGGGCCGTTCAAATATCACGTCTTTTGCACATACAAGTTTATTATTTCCAATGGAGGTGTGCGGCTTGCGCAACCAAATTGGGAACAGGGTAGTAATCAGTAACTTGTAATCAATTACTTTAAGTAACTTAGACAACACTGGTTGTTACCGTGAATTCTTCTAGCCATATAATCATATAATGAAAAATCTCTATTGTGACAGCTCTATTATTTTGCAAGTTCTTCAGTAATGTTTGATTTAGTACCGTTTGATGTGAGCATAACAGCCATGTAGTTCTGGTCCAGAGTGTGAGCCATCAGGATCAAGGCTGGCACGTGACGCGTCAAGAACCCAAATGACACTTTCTCTTGAGACTTGGCAACTTCTGCATCATGGAAACCAGCCGGCGATCTTCTGGCTTCCTCGTTTAGTATCCCAGAAAATGGCTCCTGGAGAGTATACAGGACTGAAGACCCACTTTCAAAAGAAGCTGCAAGAGCTGTGATGGACATGGAGAGACAAAGCAATCTCCGTGTAACTCCACTGCAATCATCATCATCATCATCATCTCTATGCAAATTTAGCGTACCAATGAACTCTAACATCTTATTTTTCATTATTAGAGCTATAAAAAACAACAACATTAGCATTGCTTCCTCCCCAGCCACAGCTGAGACCGCTGTCCTCCTGATTTTCTCTGTCTCTTCTCATTTTCTGGTCATCTATTCTAGTTAGCAGTAAACACCCGTGGCTGGAGCAGACCCGTTGTGACATCACATTGTAAAGAAACAAAGCCATTACATTGGTAATCTGACTGACAGGCTCCTGGATGGGTTTGAGGCAGAGGGATGGACGCTGTAATTAAATTCCATTTGTCAGTTAAAGCTTTTCTGCCAAAGCCTGTCAGCCCAGCCTCAATGAATTCAAGGTGAACACGCCATCAAGGGCGCATTCTCATACACCGGTAGGCTGACACTCCCGGACACTTATGGAAAACGTTGTCTAAAAAAAAAAAAAAGGTTGAATTTGTGATCCATATTTCCATAGATTACATTGTGCGTGATTTTCTAGCACATTTTTTTTTTTGTGAGAATCACACCATATCCAACAGTTCACCACAAGCGTTGGGTTAAACGTTTATTAAATTATGTCCTATAGAGTCCTGATTTCATTTCTCTCTGTGGGCTTTGATCTAATTGTGTGATTTTACAGTGTAAATGCTTTAAAAGCATTTCTGTCATCAAGAATGCCAGCGTTTGAGAACTACAAGCATCTGAAACATGGGCTGTGTCTGAAATTGCCAACAACTCAGAAGGTACTACATTTGAATTTACTACACGACCGTTAGAAAAGTAACATAGACTAACCATATTTCAGTATACAACGATGTTCCACACAGATTACCTTTTAACGCAAATCCCCGAATAAATACTTACGGGTGGTAGACAAGCTTTATATCTGTGTAATCTTTTTTTCTCACTCTTTCACCCCCAAGCACAACATAGATCAGGGATGTCAAACTCAATTCCTGGAGGGCTGCAGCCCTGCACAGTTTAGTTCCAACCCTGCTCCAACACACTTACCTGTAGGTTTCAAACAAGCCTGAAGGTCTCAATTAGTTTGATCAGGTGTGTTTAATTAGCGTTGGAACTAATCTGTGCAGGGCTGAAGCTCTCCAGGAACATCCCTGACATAGACCCTCCTACCACATGTTTCCGAGAAAATTCTGTAAGTTTGCTGCATCCACCTAATGCACTTGAAAAAAGACAGGCTTAAGAGGAGAGTGGAGCTTTGTATGGGAGACATTTAAAGCAATGACAATATGCATCTGCATTTAATTTATGCATCACACAGTGTTGCAGTCTTTATGAAATGAATATTATCACAAATTGTTGAATAAATTATTTTTTGTTGAATAAATGCTTTAAAATGGGGTTATTTCAACGTCATTTGTGAATGAAGGACTGCATGGCGCACTCTTCGGCAGAGAGAGCCTGAGAGATACGCTGCAAACACTGTATCAAAGATACAGATGTGTTCTTGATGTCATGGATGCATCGATGCAGACTTGAGTGCGGTACTCGCTCTAGAAGTCCCAGAACTCATTGCAGCTGAATAAATGAGGTGGAAAGCACAGCATTTTATACCAGTTTATTATTGAAGTTCAGAGATGTAACTTATATCTAAGTTTCCCTAAATGAGATGGTGAAATTAAACATTACCATGAAAATCTTAAAAAGGTCATAAACACATTAAGGGTAGACATATTTGTATTGTGCGAAGTATATTTGTAAAGCTTTTGTGCATGTTACTGTATATATACAGTTAAAGTCAAAAACATTAGCCCTCGAGTTTGTTCTTCTGTGGTAAATTAGCAAGATTGCAAGGACGTCCATTATCTGCATTCTTGGAATTGAGAAACAGTCATGCTTTAATCCATTGTGCCCTTCTCATTCAGCTTATTTTGATTGGTGCATTAAGGCCTATGAAAGCCTATGAATTTGCCCAGAAGCCATTGTAACCTCACCTTTTCTGCAGTGTGGCCCATCGAAGGCTGTTTGTGTGCAGTCACAGGCGTAACTGCTGCGCTCTTCAACACATCGTCCTCCATTATGGCAGACGCTGTCACTGGTGCAGTGACCCGGGCAGCCTGAATTCACCCCCGGGGTGGTCTTTGCACGTTCGAAAAGGTCAAGGGTAACCCCATTAATGGTGAGAGCGCGTAAGCAGCCCACGAAGCCCCTCTGCCTTGAAGCCGTTCCTCCTAATGGGGAGATTACAATGATTAATTGTCTTGGCAATTTACAAAGCCAAGCCCTTAGAAGTCGATAATAGTGTCATTCTCAGGAAACGATGCCATTTGTGTGCTATGTGTGCCCAATCTACTGACATAATTAACCACATTTTGACATAATTTGAGAGTTTAGTGTAAACTGTAAAAGATAAATTAGTGGGAAAGGTTTTATTAAAATTTGTTTATTGAAAACTTGTTTCTCTTATTCTTGTCTATGTAAAGCACTTTGATTTGCCACTGTGTATGAAATGTGCTATATAAATAAACTTGCCTTGCCTTGCCTAAAATCCTGGCTAACGTTAAATGATTTACATGTTCCTATTTGTCACTGTTATACTTAAAAATGTTATATAGGTCTTTGCTATATTGCTTTTATTTACATTAACATGCGCTAAAAAAAAAAAAAATGGTAAGTGGTTGCAAACAATTTATATGGGGTGAATTTAAACAAGAAAATTAAGATGAACTTTACTAAATTGAATTGTTTGTTTAAAATTCAGCCCATTAAATATTGTAAAAAATTTAGTAAATCCAATTAATAATTTTTTCATATTACTATTTAATCTGTTCCCTTGAACTTTTGAAATAACAGTTGGATTTATTAAGGTAGCAATGTTTTCTTGGAGCAAATTACATAATATCTCATTGTGTCTTAATTCTCAATAAATATCATATGAAGTGTTATGCTGCGTTCACATCAGATGCGGCACGCCCGTCAAGCGTGAGTGATTTACATATTAAGTCAATGCAAACGCGCGAATAGACATCCTGCAGAGCGATACGCGCGAATGGCGCGGCGCGAATGGCGAGAATTGCGCGGTGCGCATGGCGCGAATGGCGTGTCCCGAATTGAGCGTTTTGCGCGTTTGACGCGCTTAATGAGCGTTTCGCGCGAATCACCCACGTTAACCAATCAGGACCTTGCTCTTGTATGGGGCGTGATTGTGATGTATCGCCTGTTGTCGGTGTCCTAGGGGAAATCCCCCAGCAGACACCGACAAGAAGTTCATCAAACTGGGCTGGGCTCAGTCAGAAGCACCGCTGAAAACCTCCATCAGCCAGGTTCAGTTTCTGGAGGAGTCTATGAGCTTAAAGAGCTAGATGCACCTCTGAAAGGATGTAGTGGACTCAAACACAGCTCTAAACGTATCGACGCTGTTTATTATCCTTCATAAAGCACATAAACACTGTTATTTTCTTCATAAAATCCATGTTAGCCCTTTAGTTATGAAGCTAGAGTCACAGGGCAGACAGAGCCCAGCCCATCACACGAATCCGCATCTGTTCTGAAGTGAATTTGACACGCGAATGAAGCGGGGTTTGACGCGCGAATGAAGCGGAGTTTGACGCGCGAATGAAGCGAGTAACCTCAAATGTTCACGCGACTATTTATGCGCGAATAGCGTGATTTATCCGTGCGTTCCGCGTCTGGTGTGAACACAGCATTAGAGTGTAGAGTGTAGATTGAAGTGTAGATTTTTGGTCACAGGATTATTCGTAGCTCGAGTTAAAGTAAACTCAATGTTATTTAAACATTATAATTATGTCATTTGCTTGATTGCATGTTTGCGCACCTACAAAGAGTTGACTGCTGAGCTGAAGCCGATATGGTTTCTCAGGCGGCGCTTCGGTTAGTTCCAGCGGCAGTGAGTCAACCTGTAGAGAAGCTTCTTTCACATTTCTCTCAGCACGAATATAATGCCACTGACGGTCATTCAAGGCTACAGGTGACCGAACAGTAAGAGTTACTGGTCCATCTCCAAGGTCAAAGGTGAAGTTCATGGTAGAGGGAGCTGAGAATCACACAGAAAAGTGTCAAAATTACCACAGTGCAGTTTACTAAAAGTTTATCTTATTTTAAAGAAGTGCTTAAAGTTTTTTTTTTTTGGAGAAAAATATACTGAATAACATTATCCATGAAAATCAGTCTCTCCAGGATTTTGTGATTCTGAGTTTAACACAAAATTGAGGACATTATGTTAAATACAGAGAGCAACTTTGCAATTTTTGAAATTGCTGCAGATTTTGGGCAGCCTCAGATGCAATTTGCATTCAGCCAAACCAACTTGAAGTATGTTATGTGCGTTAAATTGATCATGCTTTATTATAACAGTTGACACATGAGGCGTTCAAATGCCCATGGGAATACCAATATAGTGAGAATTAAAAACAAAAACAAAAAACAGCTTATGCCAAGTTCAGACTACACGGTTTTCAAAGTATCTGGTGCAGCATTTTGTCGCTGCTGTGTTTACACTGCAAGATAGATCAGCGACAGGGGGTTTCACACTGAATGAACACAATAGGGAGAATCATTGACAACTTTGTCTTGGTCCCCCAAATTACGTCTCACAGCCAAACATACGCGAGAAGTAACATAGAAACAACCCAAGTTATTGTAGTATATCTTTTGTTATTAACTGCATAATGAGAAAGATACTTTTAGTGGGGTAGAAAATGCACATGGAGTAGAATTTAGCAATTTCTATCTAGTTTTTTTTCTTTTTCGACCCAGTTGTGGTATTGCTCAAATGACACGTCAAACAGACACAGGTCCTCTTGCCAAATTTCCAAAAGTTTTTTCTCCATTTCTTTGGTTAAATTAGACCAAAAAGAAGCCATGCTTATTGATTTTGTGGTCAATACCTTTGTAACTCCTCCCTCAACTTTATGCTGACCTGGATGCTGCTCTCTCATTGATTGTAGGTAATCGCTTTTTTCAATCAGAACACATTTCACACGGCATGATTTTCAATCGCCGACATGTTTAGATATTTAGCATGCCAAATATCTTACGGGGGTTGGCGACTTATCTGCGATTCTCTCAGATCGCATCTTTAATAGTTCACATTGTGTGATTGTTACTCATGTGAACAAGCAACAATTTGCCTGTTCAGAGATTTGTCGATGATTTCTCAAACCGTTGGCAAGTTAAAATTGGGGCTGAAATCATGCAGTTTGAACTCGGCGTTAGTTTAACTTAGGGACAGCTTGCTGTACTTGTTATTTATGGCCACAAAAGTATAGCAGGCTACATATAACGCTTTAAATCTCCTAATAAACTGCCTTTAGTAAGAACATTTAAGTGGTTAGTTTTATGATTAAAGCTCTGTACAAACAAATTCAGATATTTCATGAATTCTAAATATATTTTAGCAGGCTTTTAGTAGATTTTTTTTTTGCCAAATGTTGTTTCTTTTATTCATTGACATCCTACAGTATATGTGTATGATATAGTAGGCTTTATAGGGTTAGAAGGTAAACATGTATGTTTTCTTCTTGCTTTTCTCAGAGTATCCTGTATATAGAGATAGCCCAATGATATATGTGGTCAAATTATTTTAAGACAACAACTGTTTCAAATATTATTGCAAAGTCAATCATTTTAGGCATTTTATTCAGAAAAAAATGTCCAGAAAAATCATAGAGGGACTGTAAAATGTTATCTTTCTTCTGCATTTTTTGTAAATTTATCAATAAATTTGCTATAATGTAGAGCTGCACAATTATTTGAAAAAGGATCGCAATTTCGATTTGACCCCCTCGAAGATCTTAATCCAGCATTTCTACGATTCTGCCAATCATATTTTCAAGTCCAGGAGAGAAGTAAAAGCAGCTGTGAAGTCTTCACATTGTTTTACACACGTTGTTCAGCAGTGTGGACACCAATGGTGTTGAAATAAGGTTGAAAGAGTCACATACTGTATTTATAAGGTACAATTCACCCATAAATACCATTTCTGTCTTATTGTAATGATGTATTCACGACCGCAAAATCACATGTGACGTGAGCTGACCATGACCTGTCACCAGAGAGAGGGCGAGGGCACGCCTGTAAATGATGTCTACTTTAGTAAATAGAACCTGCATAGGCTGTGAATAACAGGTAATACAGTTGTATACAACGTTCAGTTTGTGGCACAGAGTGATTGTTTGAGAGCTGCACGGGAATTATGAACCGCACTTAGCAAGGAAAATGAAACCGTGCACCTACTCTAGCCGATGTAATGTTGAATATAATGCAAGAGGCAATCTGATTTTATCAGTAGAAAAAAGGTCTAATAATGTTGTCAATGACAGATTGCAAGCATATGTCTTAAACATAATAATTCAACATCAGAGTTACGAATAGTTGTATTCTGATATCATCACTTTACTGTGCATTAATGACCAGGACCAATTTAATGTCTGTTCAAGTTTACCATTCCAAGTCTATACAAAATTTAGCATTTTAACCAACAGTAGACCTACACATAATATTATTATTGTTTTTTACTGTATTTTTGAGAAATAATATTAATAGCCCACTCATATTAACCTTTATTTTACATCTACAGAATTGTGAGAAAATAGTGCTCCTTATTATAAGCAAAAAAAAAAAAAAAAAAAAAAAAAAAAAAAATATATATATATATATATATATATATATATATATATATATATATATATATATATTGCGATTCTCATTTTAGCCAGAATTGTGCAGCTCTACTATATTGAAGGAAAATAGTAAAAAAAAAATTAGTTAATCAGCAACTCACAACTAAGTTCCAGCCTTACGAAGTCTCTGACACCCAGATTCTCCAAGAACACTCCAGAGAAAGCACTGGTTTTGAAGAAGAGTGAAATATCGATGCTCAGTTCAGCTTGGAGGGTTGGGAAATGCAGATAGGAGGACTCCTGGTAAAAAGATGCAGAGTTCCAGAAAAATCCTGCAGCAGAGGGACAGTGAAGAAAGCACATAGTGTGTTGGAAAACAATTTGTGCACTGGATTGAATAATATTAAAAAAAGAGTCCTTCTCTTCTGCATATTGAAATATGAAAATGTATTCAGCAGAGAGTCATTTTACCCCCCATACCCCTTTTAAATTTGGTAAACAAAACACCCACGGTTGCCATAGCAACGCAGCGGTCCAATTTGGAGTTCGGCCTGTGAGTTTGTCCGGTTTGTGTCTCCAATGGCGATCTCACTGAGAGGTAAATGGTCTTTGTAAGACAGCACACCAGTATCATTTGCCCTGCAGGAGGAGAAAGTGAATGAGAGAATGTGAAAGAGGAGAAGTAATGAGCAAAAGGCTGGGAGAAAGTCTTTTTAATCTCTCTCTGAGGTAGACGATTGCCCTCCGAGGAGTGTATATGCTTCACTTGTTGCTTAAAAAAATAGTAATACTTGCCCTATAGCGAGCATTAAGCTTTGCTACATTGTCTCGGTCATTTTAACAGGAGAAACTAATGAAGGGTTTTAAAATGCTATTCCAATATAGCATTTTAATTGACTAAAACTCTCCAGTCTACCTCAGATTTCTTTGGCTCTATGAAAAATAGCAATCCTATTATCTCACAGAACAGGAAAATACAGCTCTTTCTCCGCAGGGCTGCCAAGTGGGGCTACTTTTAACTGTTGCAGGGAGACTTTTTTTATTGATGGTTAAAGGTTTGACATACTGCATAAATTATATTGGAAAGAAATTATTATATTGAAATATTTTATATTCTACTAATGATAGAACTGTGCAAGAAGATAAGTTTTGTTAGAAAGGAGGACTTATAGGGCTTATTTGGCTTATTTATAATAACTACAGTGTAAAATTTTGTATCACACTGATTTTTCTTTTCAGTTTAGTCCCTTTATTAATCTGTGGTCACCCCAGCAGAATGAAACACAAACTTATCAAGCATATCCATGCAGTGGATGCCCTTCCAGCTGCAACCCATTACAGGGAAACTTCCATACACACTCATTCAAACACATTAACTAGGGGCAATTTAGCCTACCCAATTCACCTGTACCACATGTCGTTGGACTTGTGGGGGAGACCAGAGCACCCGGAGGAAACCCATGAGAACACATGGAGAACATGCCAACTAAATCAGCTGAGGATTGAACCAGCGACCTTCTTGATGTGAGGTGATTGTGCTACCCCATGTGCCACCGTGATGCCCTTTATCACACTGATACTTATACTAGTTATTTATACAAGTAATGTTAAATATTCACCTTCATAATCATGTTCTTAGTAATTGTTCATGTGATTAGTAATTTTTATATATAATTAGTAATTATATATATATATATATATATATATATATATATATATATATATATATATATATATATATATATATATATATATATATTTTTTGTATGTCAGTGGCCAGTCCCCTGGCCTATTGACCACCTCTGTACACACTGCTCTCTGGTTTAGGAAAGGCTTACTTCTCCACACTATCCATCTCAGTCCCCAGTGAAAGAGTTTTTTCAGCAGGTGATATTGTAAATGTCCTCAGTGTATGCCAGAAAACATAGATATGCTGATATTTCTTTTTAGAAAATCCAGCACAGATACAGTTTTAATTTGGTTATATTAATAAGTCTTATTTAGTTTGTATTATTAGTTTTTTGTTTTTGAAAATAGCAATTTATTTATGGCAAAAACGAATTATTTTTTCCAAAAAATGTGCAGCAAAAAAAAATAAAAAAATAAATAAATAAATAAATTAAAAAATAAATAAAATGAAAAAAAAAACTACGTTTTTTTTTTTTTTACCTTAAATTTGTTACAAATAATTTTGTAAAAAAAAAAAATGTGACTAAATCATGAATTATGAGATTAGTACCCCGAATCATTATCGAATCGTGAGTCAGGTGAATCATTACATCCCTACCTATACTTGTGTCAAATTTAAGATATTTAAAAAAAACTAAGCCAAAATGTACTTGAGTCAATCACAAATGCCTCACCTAACTAACTAAAAGCACGTGTCTTTTGAAAAAATTAACACCTGAGCATAGTACGATAAGTAGTATGTAAAATGACAAAATTTTATTTTCCCCCCTGTTTTTATGGCCCACAAATTCACCACAATCATGCAAATCTGTAAACCCTGGATAACTGAAAAAAATATTTACCAGGTGTCTTGGTCTGCATCACAGTTACAGAAATAATTCATATCCCTGCAGTTGCCATCCAAGCTACAAGAACACTGCTGGACTCCAGGTAGAAATCCACCCCAATATGTTCGCTTTACTCCATCTCTATCCAACCACCACGACAGAGGAGTTCCATCTGAAAAATGGACAAAATGCCCTCAAGGATAAGCATATTTGGACTTTTCCGCCAGTAAATAATTATGCAAATAATGACAACACTGTTTGGAGTCTAATGTAATTTAGTCATGCGTGATGACATCTGGTCTCCTGCCCCTGCTGGTCAGTAATAGTCTCTGAGGCTCCTGTCAGTCAAGTAGCTGTTATAGTAGCATCACAATGTGCGTGACCAGACATCTACTATCACAGCGGTGCAGAGATCTGGCCGGGAGCTTATTCAATGACAAATGGCAATCAGATATGCAGGATGTCTAGTGCTAGAGGTTCACCGCCTGATCAAAGGTTGATCTTTTGCTTAAAGGCTACATTGGATCTCATAGCAGCGAATCAGAACGATTTAAAAAAGTAAGCCAAGTGTTTGAGGATGAGTTAACTCCAACTCCTGAGCAGATCAACCCCACAAAGTCGACAGTATTAAAGCAGTGAGCAGGAAAAAAAAAAACATATGGAATAATTTAGCTCCTAATCGTTTTAAGGCTTTATGCATGCCTTTGCGATTCAAATGCTCTCATCACTTCCCATAACCACCCCTGCATGACAAGAATTACATTCTAACCACTTTTTAAGTGAACATCATCATTCACCGTGCATCGTCGTCATGTCACACTTGAGCCCCTTTAATATCTGTGGTAATAACCTGCTGTTGTGAATCTTTTAGCGGTGAGGTGCTTTTTCTGTTCCTTTGGAACATATTAGCCGAATTTAGAGGATTACAATTCCTGAGGTAGCATAAATCACAAAATTAATAAGAACGACAACATTTCTGCAGTACAGCACACAAAAATAGTAAAAAAAAAAAAAAAAAACAAGACCAACCCCAAGTGTCAAAAAGCCGAGACTTCCTGCAGCGATATATCACTTCCTGTTGGCAGTGTTCAGAGGAGGTGACGAGCGAGCGGAGATGGTATGGCGAGATGGTGTAGTTGAAGATAAGAACGAAAGGGCTGCGTGGAGTGGATCCTCGAATGTCAATGGGCCTCATGTGATCGTGCCCCACCACCGTCCAAACTTTATCTTCTGTTACAGAAAACACACACACACACACACACAGAGGCATAGTATGCTTGAAAAACTAGTGCAAACTGAAATTCCCATTGACTCCCATCGTGTATGAACCCTCTCAAGTCTGCTCTCAATCGACCGTATGTGCTCGTGAATGAAAATGGGAGATTAACAGAGTGATGGAGTCGTATGCAAATACCTGATGAATATTAAGCAGAGAACAGAAGGTCAGTCATTCAGGAGGGTGTGAAATGATGAGAGTACGCTAGTCTACACTAGCACCTTTCCTTATGCAAATTGAAACTGCTCCGTGTGATGTCTAAAGGTGCCAGTTTGCGGTGTCTTGCTGAATTAGCATGGCTAATAGCTCCTGTAATTGAGGTCAGTTTTGAACGATTTTCTTGCCAGTGCTTGTTGGCGTCGCCTCAGAGAAAAAGGTCTATTTGTATTGGAACTCTAGATCTTTTAATGCATTCAGCGTGACAAAGCTAACTTTGCAATCTGACTAAAGCTCAATGAAAGCTAACTTTGTATAAAGGAAAGCCAGCTTAGCTGTGCCAATGTGCAGCAGGTGGTCAAAGCGTACGACAGCTTCCTGGTGCTTACTTTTCTCAGCTCGGCTTGCAGCTCCAATAACCTCAGAGCCAAACCTGTTGCCTATGAAACTAAGAAAAATGAAGCTATCAGTCTTAGCTAGCCCGTGTTGCCGATCTCTGCAGGCAGACATGCTCCTTGACTTTTCCTTCCTTCACCTGCACTCCTCCCTGCTGCTGACATAATGGGGCTTGAATTTCCCTGCGTGATGATATAATGTATTACAGTCTTATCACAGGGACAAATCAGCCTAGCATCTGATGCAGCGAAGAGTAATGTTAGAGGCCAAAAACCAAGGTCGACGAAATTGGTGATGAAACCTGACAGTAGATGTGAGAAAACACATCGTTCTCGGTGGCAGGGGATGCACCTGCCTGCCCCAACATGTACTGGTGAGGTGCCAGTTTTTCCATATCTTGTTATATCCTAATCAGAAAAATCACCACAGCAAACAAGTTTGTGCTTAATAGACGTCTAATAGACATCCAAACGCAGACAGCTTGGCTAAAACAAGGCTAAAACTAGACTAGTCATCAAATAGACAGATTAGACAGACTTTATACGTGTAGGTGATTTCTGTTTATTTGATGACTAGTCTAGTTTTGGCTTATTCTTAGAGGTCTATTAGATTTTCACAGACAGCCCAAATTTAGCCTTGTTTTAGACAAAATAACCATGTTTAGATGTCTATTAGACATCTTAAAAAAAAAAAAAGACGCTTGCTGGTCACATCTCTTAGATGTCAATTATAAAAATGCTACAATATTTTTTTTCTTATTTTGTCAACAGTTTGCACATCTTTTTTGTTTAACTTTTAAACGCTCTTAACATTTAAACAAAAATGATTTTGTTGAGATTCAGTGAAAAAAAAAAGTTCGAGTTTGCCAAAACAGTTTAAATAATGGCAAATGTATAGTTTTATTGACAGCTCTGATTGTTGAGGGAAATTTGTGCAGAATAAGGAGATGTATAGTGTAAAAACATGCATTGCATGTGTGAAACACTACTTGAGGCACAAGACTCAATATAGCCACTAAGTTGCTGATTATATATATATATATATGATTGCTACTGACTTTTCTGACTGTACAGCTTTTAATTTTGATGTCTCATACCCTTTAAGAGAAATAAATATTTTAGTAAAAGTGGCTACTTTTAATGTTTTGGTGCCCTATTACAAACAGTGAATCCGAAGAATAGTTGCAAAAGTAGATTTTTGAAAAAACAAAATACCTAAAAAATTACACAAAAAACAAATCTATAGTGTTCAGGTTAGGAATTAAAATCAAATGTTATTTGATTTTGCATACTACCGTTGTCTATGACTTACAGTTTGGTCTGCCTGATCACTTTTCAAAAGTTCACACTTAGCTGATGATTGACTTTTAAAGCGTTTGGCATGATGTTCCATGAGAGAGCCCTTAGCTCATAAAATCCTCCAGCCTGGGGCTCCCTCCCTTTTGCAGGGCGAGAGAAGAGTTTAAGCTCAGGTAGATCTCGAGAACTCCACTACTTTTTATAGCTAATGACCAAATAGGAATTGCGATGAAGAGATAACTGCTGACTAGGAGCACCTCTATGGTGCCAATTTCAATTAGTCAATTATCTTAAGTCACATTTTTTTTTTGGATGATGGGAAAAAACAGGGGGGTCCTGTTGACTGGCCTGGTAAGGTCTTGAACCAGTGACATTCCAGCTGTGACAACCGTGCTAACCACCAAGGAAAAGGGAGGAGGAGTATGGGTGAAATCTTCAAGACTAAGATAACTCTGGGACCAGCCGTAATCAATCATAAGCATGTGATCCTCTCAAAATTAGTTTATAAATAAACTTTATTTAGGGAAGAATTAGGATATTTAAAAATCCTAATAATTACAACAGGGTTTCAGCGACTTCATTATAGCCTAAATTTCCACCAATTAACATGATGTTTAAGTCTAATCACGTGTCGTCAACTAAGATGCATTACTGTTTCCACCTGATATTAAATATGCTGTAAAATCAGTGTCTTGTGATTGCTTGTGTGGACCTTCCCTCTCATTTTGACATCTTATACATCCATTTTGCAGGAGACTTTAAATTCAACCTATGAGTATTTCTGAATCTTCAATCCTAGAATATGTTACATGAGTAGGAAAGCAAGCAACTAGGATGCAAACTGTAACTTGCATTCCAAACGTAATCCCTGTTCTTTGTTACAATGCAGTGAACAACTTGTTTTAGTCCATTTTTCACCTTTTAGGTCTGTAGGCAGAGGGTAGGTGCTGTTTTGTTGCTGTTCAAATGCATTCGACCAAATGATATATTTTTTAGTGTGCCAACAAAAAAAGCACACACACTCTAGGGTCAAGCTCATTAAACATTTGCAGCTCTCCTGCAATCTGTATTCCAGTGCGTTCCTCACTAACCACCAACAAACCAGCAAAATGCACTTTTCTATCAACATTGGCTGTAGTGATTGCTCAAATTATGCTAAAGTAATAATCAGTTATATATATACCAGTGGAAATAATTATGAACAGTGTGCGCAAATGAGTGATTTCCCTCACAGCCTGAACTCCAGCAATATTATGCCACCTTGATGTCTTGGTAACACTCATCAACTGCTTCGTTGGATCCAGTCTAGCTGAATCAAGGCTGTTTGTGTGGTGCTTGAGCGAAAAATCTGCCTCACCGGAGGCTCCCTGGGAGGAAGGTTGGCCAACCCTGATCCAACCTGCTGAACTAGACAGCCGCATGAGATGCTGAACTCACTTAATGAGATGTGTGATTTCTCTAGGCAGTCTCCCACACATGCTGAGGTCACACCTGTCCGTAAACTGAATCAGGTTTGTAAATGAGAACTGCTGAGCTCTGAGCTCCATCATTCAATAATGTGAAAGATGATGAACATCAGTGTGTAATGCGTCTAGAACTGTGTGAAGCTGACTATGCATAATTGGGCCAGTCACCTGCCACGGTGCAGTTGACTTGAGCGTGGTCTAGAAGTCCGCTCCCATCAAGGTCGATTGTAAACACACTCGACTGGCTTCCTGTTTTCCTGAAGGCCTCGCAGGATCGCTCATATATTGCTGAAAATGATGAATCATAGAAATGACGGAAATAAATCTGCTGCTGTTTTTATGTCGTGCTTAATTACAGAATGCTTGGATTTTTGGCGCATCAGCATGGGATACTGAGCCTGTGGGAGGTGAAAAAACACAAAAGTGAGATCAAGAACCTGCCTGATGGTTTAAGTTGTAATCATTTAAGAGGAATTACATGTGTCAACTTTTGCAATTATTCAAGCCAGAGTGCTCTGCTTTGCCAAAAAAGTGCAGATAGCAGTTAAATTAGTGTTTACATGCAAACAAGCCTTCTTTCACTTCTATTAAATTAACTTTCCTAACAATGACATGAATGAATAGCACAATTCGTACAGTTCATTTAACAAGCAGAGGTAATTATTGTTTACTTGGGACCTGTTCGTCATGACAGAGAAGTCGTCGGTGCGCTAGAGTGAGCTAATTTGTTGCACGTGTTGTTTTGCTGATGGTGAATCGCACACAGCAGGACTTGTAAAAAAAAGGAAATCTCATATTTCTTGGTCTTTTAATGCGGTAAATCTAACAGATGGCATTGTCGAGCATCTCTCCTCCAGAGAACACGTACAGTCAGGAGTGAATGATAGAGCGGTGCATGTGGCGGCAGATTAGAACATATAGATTCAACAAATTTGATAATAAATAAATAAAAGTAATATATATATATATATATATATATATATATATATATATATATATATATATATATATATATATATATATATATATATATATATATATATATGGTGGAAATAATAAAATAATTCCAGCTTATTTAATTAAAAGTATATTATTTACTATCATAGACACAGATGCCAAAATTAATTATATCAACCATCATTAAGATTGCGCACTTGCAGCTGTCAAGTGAAGCATTATGCATACCATAAATTTTGTTAGTGATAAAATAGAATCACTATTTAAAGATACAATGTAATCAGTAGTTGCCTGTTGTAATGTATTTGGTTTAGAAAACAAATGCATTTTATATGAGCAACAAAAAGGAAATAATAAAACAAAGTCAGACCTCACCAAATTAACTGAAATTTAATACCCAATTAATTGAAGCTGAAGTTAATTTGAGATCTGATTGTAACATTTAATAGGCTACTTTCTCCCACACAATATTGGCACCTGTAAATCACAATTAAAACTTCTGCACACGTTGTGTTTGTTTATAGTTATTTACATGTTTATAATTAAGCTTTTCATTGAAATAATAAATCTGACACCGCATGGGTGTTAGCTGAAAAACACATACTGTACATTATTAGCAGCTTGCATCTGAGTAATCGAGCAGACCTAGCCTGTTTTGCATAACTCACAGTTATGGCAGGTGGCTCCTGTGTATCCTGTTCCAGAACAGTTACAGTCAAACTGGTCCCAAGACTGGATGCATTGACCACCATGTTCACACAGATTGGGCAAACACCTGTTGGGTTGAACACGGTCATTTGAAGTTGAAGAACATTACACATTGTTATTATTATCTATTATTGCTCAAACTCATCTCAACTTTTTTATAATAGAAGTAAGGAGCGTGCAATAACGATAGTTTATGATACTATTAATAATATATGATAATAACAAAGTTCAAGGTGACATTATTTGTTTCTCATTTTGCAAAAAAAGGGTTTGAGGATTCACTACATGATGCCTGTTGGAATGCAATTAGAATAGCCTAATAATTTTAGTTTATCTAAGCAAAAATATCCATGTATGTGTTTTTGTTCCTGTGAGTTGTTTTGGTGGTTTTAGTGTCAGCTATTTTACAGTACAAGCACAAAAACATATTTTTAAAAAAATATATAATTGTTGAAAAATACCTGTCTAAAACAAATATACACTCACAGGCCACTTTATTAGGTACACCTTACTAGTAATGGGTAGGACCCCCTTTTGCCTTCAGAACTGCCTAAATCCTTCATGGCAAAGATTCAACAGGATAATGGAAATATTCATCAGAGATTTTGGTCCATGCTGACGTGACAGCATCACGCAGCTGCTGCTGATTTTTCAGCAGCACATCCATGAGGCGAATCTCCCATTCCACCACATCCCAATAGTGCTCTATTGGATTGAGTTCTGGTGACTGTGGAGGCCAATTGATTACAGTGAACTCACTGTCGTGTTCAAGAAACCAATCTAAGATGATTCGTGCTTCATGACATGGTGTGTTATCCTGCTGGAAGTAGCCATCAGAAGATGGGTACACTGCAGTCATAAAGGGATGGACATGGTCAGTAACAACACTCAGGTAGGCTGTGTCATTGACACAATGCTCAATTGCTACTTTGGTGACCCAGAATAAGAAAATATTCCCCACACTATTACACCACCACCACCAGCCTAAACCGTTGAGACAAGGCAGGATGGATCCATGCTTTCATGTTGATGTCGCCAATTTCTGACCCTACCATCTGAATGTCACAGCAGAAATCCATTCAATTTTCTATTGTCCAATTTTGGTGAGCCTGTGAGAATTGTAGCCTCAGTTGCCTGTTCTTAGCTGGCAGAAGTGGCATCCGGTGTGGACTTCTGCTGCTGTAGCCCATCTTCTTCAAGGTGCGACATTTTGTGCATTCAGAGATGTTCTTCTGCATACCTAAGTTGTAACAAGTGATTATTTGAGTTACTGTTGCCTTTCTATCGGCACAAACCAATCTGGCCTTTCTCCTCTAGCCTCTGGCATCAACAAGGCATTTGTGCCCACAAAACTGCCATTCACTGGATATTTTCTCTTTTTTGCACTATTCTCTGTAAACCTTTGAGATGGTTGTGTGTGAAAGTCCCAGTAGGTCAGAAGTTTCTGAAATACTCAGACCAGCCCATCTGGCACCAACAACCATGCCACGATCAAAGTCACTTGAATCACCTTTCTTCCCTATTTTGATGCTCGGTTTGATCGGCAGCAGAACATCTTGACCATGCCTAAATGCATTGACCTGCTGCCATGTGATTGGCTGATTAGGAATTTGGAGCAGTTGGACAGATGTACCTAATAAAGTGACCGGTGAGTGTATGTTTTTGTCAATATCACAGACCTCTAACAGAGATGAAACAGATCTGTACATTTCATGCAGATGATTCACATAAACACAGACACACACACACGCACACACAGTGAAACAGACCTATCTTGTATGTTGCAAACATCAAAGCTAATCTGGCTAAAGTTGCCCATGTTTTCCTGTTGGATCTGAAGGAAGTTGACCGGATGGTTGTTGATTAAAAGGAGACGAAAGCAGCCCTGGTATCCTCTGCCGGGGTTCTCACAGTTGAAATTGCTCTGGAATAAAGGGCAGCCTAAAATAATGGAAAATTCCAACTTACTGTCTTTTAAATCAAAAACAACATCCACAACTAATACCAAGTCGCACAAAGACAAATCTCTGTTCTGAGGAATTCATGCAAAGCAGCTTATAAAATCTCAGCAGGACTCAGCATTGTCCCAGAAGCAAGCAAAATGAGAGATTTAGCGGTCTTAGTTAAGACATTGGAAGTTTTGAGTCAGAGATTTCAGCAACAGCTTTAAAGAAAACGCGTTTATCCTCTACAGTAATTGAATGTGGTTAAAGCTGCCAGAATGAACTAAAAAAGGCAGAAAAAAAAGAAGGACATTTGGGAATAACAGCTGTACGTGTGAAATGAATAGACTCTAAGAATGCTCTCAGCTTGTCAAGCCTGTATTTTACTCAGGAATATGAGGAACGTTTGGTTGATGGAGGTTAGAGTTAATAATGTAGAAGAAAATTGTCCCTTGCATTCAGGAAAATGTTTCGGATAATAACTGCTCTTTGCCCGCAGCTATTAGGCTAGTTCAGAACTGAGCTTTGTAGATAATAGATCAAAATAAGTTACTATTTCTAAATTTGAATACAGCTAGTAAGAATAAACTGACTTTTTGCATTTCTAATGCTGTACCTCCAATGTAGATGGTTGTTCTCTGGGGGGTTTGGCTACGTCCAGTGATTTCCATGGTGGCAGGCTTTTGGTTGTTGACTGTTAAAGACACCTTCTCACCTTTGACCTCAACGGATATGGAGTGCCACTGTCCATCATTTAAATTCTGACCTGTAACACAAAGAGACAGGGTATATAAGGTAGAATGAAAGTGAATATATAATTTAGGCCCAAACCCAATTCTACCCCTTACACTGGAAAAAATGCTTTTCTTACTTTTTTGTCTTGTTTCTTGTCCAAAAATCTAAAAATTCTTAAATCATGCATATTGTATTGTTATAGAAAAACATATTGTATTGTTATAGAAAAAATATGCCTAAAATTAAGTGAGTGTTTCCTTAAAACAAGCAAAATAATCTGCCAATGGGTTAAGCAAAATATTCAAAAGGAGTCAAAAGGAAAAACAAGATTACTTTGCAGTGTAGCCGTACCCCTCGTTTTGCACGTTCACGTGAAGGGGTAGGGGTGTCCCAATATTCTTTGGCTTGAAGTCATAGTGAATTAGTAGTTAGCAATGTATATGTAACGTACAAGATGTTCTTATTAAAGTTAATTTTAATTTGCTGGAAAACAAAATATACACTGATAATACACTATTTATAACTGATACACAATGACTAGCAGTAATCAAATTATTTGCCTTAATCTGAATAAGACAATAATATGATTAAGGTGTTTACATGAGTTGCTTTTTGAATGTTCCTTTCATGATCTCATTTGACATGTTATAGCACATGGATTGATTAATGTCATTGCGTCATGATGCTATCAACGTTTCCCCTGGAGTTTTATGTCATTTCAGGTGTTTCATTTTTAATTTTTCGACTTTAACTGCAGTTTTGCACTTTTGCTTTCATTCAAAAACATTTCATACATGCCCCCCCAGACAAGCAAGGTATTGGAGAGATTATGAACTGCAGGAAGAGTGTTGTTTTAATGGAATGTGATATCACATCCCATATAGGCAGGTGTCTGTAGTCCTTCACTGACTCAGTAGGTGTAGAGAATAGTGTCAAACAGCCATGTGTAGACTATCCTGTCGCAAAGTACAGCAAAAATCCTATATGCTGGCAGTAGTTTAATTAAGGTGTTTACATGTCTGTACTGCACTTCTATAATGTGACTAAAATCGACATACTCCACATGTCCTAATCTGATTTCTGTTTAGTTCGATTATGACCTTAATCCGATTAAATTAATCAAAAATCACTGTTTACATGGTATGCTCTTAATCAGATTATTGTTTTAATCATATTAAAATCAGATTATTGATGTATAGTGGTGGAAAGAGTACTGAAAAAATCATACTTAAGTAAAAGTGCCATTACTTGCCTAAAAATGTAGTGCAAGTAGAGTAAAAGTATCTGTTGTAAATATTACAAGGTATATCTACATATTGTAAATTATTAAGTATGAGTAAAAATACAAAAGTACTGTAGTGAGTATTTTCGCTGTACTAAGCTGATGCATTTACATGTAATTTGTGAATGTGTGTAAATGTAACATTCTGTAATACCCAGCAGGCACACAACGTCACAGGACATTAATATTAGGTTAGATTTAGGTTGTGATGTCAGGAGATCAAGATTCAATGTCTAGCCAGTGCCTAAGGACACTTTTTTGTCCAATAATGACGTCAAATCATGTTGATATTTAGTTGACTTTAGGTTATTTTGGAAAGTGACCAAAATTCAACGCCGAGCCAACATCTTAGACCAATGTCAAATTGACATCAAATACTTACATTTATTAGTCAGGTATGGCAACCAAAATCCAACATCTGATAGACGTCATAGTGGTAACATCAATACAAGGTCAAGCTTTAACATCATTAGACGTTGATTTTTGGATGATTTTAGCTTGGACATTGGACATTGAGGTTGGCCTTACGTTGGGTTCTGATGTCAACCCAATTTTATTTTCAAGCAAAATGCAATGTCCCCACTACATTAGGGTACAACATCAATCTGACATCATGATGCCATTTTGGTCATCATCCAGTAAACATTTGCCATCTTCTCATCAGTGACATGCATCTAAACAGTCTCTCAGTTATTGTGGGAAAGATTTTGAACATCTTCTTGGACACTTTTAATGCTTTCAAACAGTTTATCTGCAATTATAAATCGCCCATGTCTTGAAGTAGTTCATTATGATGCGATTAACCTTCTATGTGTGATTTGATTAGAATCACAGGACTGATTTTTCTAATCCCCATAGACAAGAAAAAAAATAAAGTAGTGACAGCAGGTTAAAGGAAAGTAGTGGAGTAAAAGTACCAATACTGCACTAAAAATGTACTCAAGGGAAAAAAAAGTACACATTTTTAAAACTACTTAGTGAATTGCAATTTCTGAGAAAAACTGCTCAATTACTATAGTTTGAGTAGTTGTAATTTGTTACTTTACATCACTGTTGGTGTCCATGTAAACATACTCATTGTTGGGTAGGTTACTTTAAATATAGGATACAGATTACAAGTTATCCTACTTAAATTGACTTCATTAAAGTAGTGTAAACGATTACAACTGAACACTTGATTAATTTCTCACAAATGTTTTTAACTGATAAATATTTCCAATAGTAAATCCACAGTAGAGCTCAACACTGTTTACTGCCAGACATTAAAATATGTCTCACTTAAATGACTATTTTGATCATTTGATTTTAAAGAACAGCCACCACAAAATTTGATTTTAGCATGTTTTTTCACTTTGAAATATAGTTCTGAGTGTTCTGAACAATTATTTGAATAGATAAGATGCTGTTTTTGAAATAGAATATTTGCAGAGCTATGACAAGAAACACTGGCACCTTATAATCCCTCAGAAAAACAGTCAGTCCTTTAAATAGTAAGAAATAGTTTGCTCTGCATCCAAAATATTTATATTACTAATTATATAATAGCTAGTGTGATTATATACAACCACCCCTATAATGGATTAAACTATTGTGAATGCATAATCGCATCAATTAATCTAAGCTAATAGATATGGTAAGTGTTCACTTTTCTTCTTTGTTTCTACATATAGCCTAAAAGAAAAATGTGATGCATAGTCTGTACCTACAGTAAATATGTTGCATTGATAAATTAATGTCATTTATTAATTTGATTAACTAAAGCATGTATTACACCAAATAACATTACCATAAATGTGACCCCCTGATTGTCAATGTATAAATCACATCCTGCATAAAGCCTATTAAAAAAGAACAAAAACATGTTTCAATATGTGTCCTTCTGTGCTAATTCAACTAAGAGAACCAATCAAAAGCAACAGAACAGCGTTAATCAATAAATAAACCTTTAAAAGTCATCATGTACATCAAAACAGGCCTGAGTCCCTCACATAAAAATCCGTCTACATACTTTTACAAGGAAGTCAGGAAAGGTATTTTGGCAAAAGTCTTAAATCTTTGGCTATATAAAAAAAAGAAATGAACAAAGTCTTACATATAACCCCTTTATTTATCTACACTGACACTTAATCAATGTGCATCCAAAAATGTATTCACGAATGAAATGCTATAGCTCCTACAAATCTCACCGCTGAAAACCTGAGCAGAGTTTTGTGGTCCTCCAGAGAGCAAGAGGAGCAGCCGGGCCTGGCTGAGCCGCAGGAGCAGGTTAATGGGGTCTGGGTCATGAGAGAGCGGTACTGAAAACAGCAGCCCTTCCTGATTCCATGTGCGGAACTGAAGACGAACAGAAAGACTATCCATACTGTAATCTGCAGGGAGCGCCAGGAAACTGCCTGTGGAACTAAGGAACGTCACTGCAACTGAGGAGGACTCCGAGCAGGAGAATGTCACGTTGCCCTTAATAGGGAAAAGAGAGGGAATGAAACAATAAAAGAGTGTCTTGGAGTGCAGAATTGAAAAATGAAAGGACAATGAAAAGCAAGATGGAGGTAAAAAATAAAAGATGACAGTAAGTGAATTACTGAAGTAATAGCTCAGAAAAAGTAGAAGTAAAAAGTCATTTTTCTTTTACCTTAGCTTACACTATATAAATTCAGCATTTCTCAAACTGGGGAGCGTAGACCCCTGAAGGTCTCTCAAATGGTCTCTCAAAGAAATAGTTAACAAAAATGTAATTTAAAAAAAAATAAAATAAAACTGCAGACAATAAACCAATTTCCCAGAGGCTCTGTAAGTATTTTTCTTTAATAAAGACATTTAACACCCTTAGACCAAACAAGACGATTTTCATAATCCAATTTAACATGTTTTGAGATATTTTTAAGCCAGGTACAAATATGCACAAGAAAAAAAAAAAAATCTGTCACGATCACCAGTGATCCAGGCTTAGTAGATCACTAAAACATGCATTATCACTCGGACTATAATTCTGACACCATATGAACTACAACTCCCTTCAGGCACTGCACACACACACCTGTTCCCGTTCTCCATTGATTGCACACACACAGCTGGGAGATGCTCAAGGATATTACTCACTATGTCACACACATTGCTGAGTCTGTTTTGTTTATACCCTGGAACATTACGAAGAGTTTTCCTGTTTTAGTCTCTCTGTGTTTGACCTTTGCCTTGTTCTCTCGTTTAGGTGAACTGCCACCTATATCAACCATTTGCCTGTGACCTGACTATGCTTCCGGATTTCCTTGTATGTACCCGTTTGCTCCTGTTTGACTATTGCCTGACTCGCCATTTTCTGTTTAATAAATTGCATGTGAATCCTTAACTCCATTGTCATCGTCCCCGTTACAATCTCAAACTATTTCACTCAAACAGATACAGATTTAACTAAAAAAAAACAATTAAATGAAAGTTTAAAATTCATTAATTAAAATGATTTAATTAAAGTTGTATTATATTTAAATATATCAATGCATAACAATTATATGTTAATGAGTAATATATTTAAAAATAAAAAGAATATTGTGCCAAAACTAGTCTATGTTGATCTTGAAAAATCTTGTCTTCATAGCTGTGTAAAATAAGTCAGATACCAATGCCAGTTTACTGTATAACCAGAACACCAACAATAATCCACAACATCTTATCCATAATGTGAAAATAAATCACATTAAGCCGCATACAATAAATATTTAGCTGTTTCTGTCCACTATTACAACCTGTTCTAAAAAGAAGTTCAGCTTTACTTTTGTGACCTTCAATTTGACAGAACGCTTTAAAGGGATCTAAAAGAACTGCAATTAAATATATACAAATATAAATCAATACTTCGTAACACTTTAGTGCATATACCAACCCAGGCTCATTCTGAATACGTACTGCTATATACATTTCTGGAGAGCGCCAAATACATCCAAGGAGCAATGTTTTTTTTTTTTGCAGCTTTTGTTTTCGTGAATCCCCCAGAGGCCGATGTGCAGGCTTTTTTAGATCTCAAATTTCTCTCATGTGTCAATCGCGCCTGCAGTTCTTTCATAAATCCTCCAGAGGCTGCTGTTGATTGACTGACTGACCCACCCTCCTCCTTCTTTAAACCCAACCAATAGTGTTTTTAAAAACACTAATTGACCCGCCCACCCTCTTTTCTAAACCCAACCGACAGTTTTAAAAAAGCAATCCAGAAAAAGAAAAGCCTTCGCCTGATTAACACTCTTTCAGATTTTACCACATTTTCACTTTATTTTTTGGCTTCTGTTTTCGTCTTACCTGGTTTCTGCAACCGTTCTTCGCCAGACTAACAGTGGGAAAGCAGTCCAAATGGAGGCAATTGGTATTGTTCATTTTAAAACAAACTGCTGCCATTCTTCTGGCTACATAATTCCTAATCTCCAGAAATGTATATAGGGCTACGTTTTCAGAACGTGCCTATGTTGGCTGAAACAATTACATTAATATTTACAACATAAGCATTAAAGCCAACTGTTGGCACAAATGAAAGGCTGCTGTTTTGTTTTGTTGACCAGTGTGACGTTTTGAAAGTGTAACCTTCAATAAAACAGCTTACAGTTGCTGCACAAAAAATATGTATTTTAATCTGCGGTCTCTTAATTAGAATTAATAATCATGATTATAATATCAAGGGAGTCCTGCAGGCTTAAATTACATTGTTCTGCAACAGTTCATTGAATAAAAAGTAGCTCCAGCTCCCCATGAACATCATTCATTCGGTAACATGTGGAGCGTCTTATTCAGCATGTGCTGTAGAGAAAAGAGGATCTTTATCTTAAAATGCCTCTGACAAGAGGGAGGGAAAAACAAAATGAAGATCACTATGTGACATTGCTCTTCCTTATTTTCCTGTCTGTGATAAGTGTATTAAACCACCCGGAGAGCGTGCGAGAGAAATGGACAAGACGAGAGACTTCACAGCCTGTTAATTAGAGAAAGAGAGCTCTTTTATGGTGCGATGCACACAACTTCACACAACTGCAATACACACTGAGCTACTGTAATTTGCCAAGTGACATGGTTGTAAATTGCACCGGATATAAATGCATGTTGTGTGAATGAAGTTGTTTAAGTGGCAACGCAACAAAAACGTCAACAAAGTGTGGTCTCACATTGACTTGTGAAAAGCAAGATTTCGAATCTCAACTTTGACAGCGAGTGGGATTTGATGATTTTCAAACAAACAAGCTAGGGTGGTGTTTGATTCTTACAATAGACGGGCATGTTGAAAAGTGTTATTTACAGTTTCACTTGTAATTGCGATTGTTCAACTTCAAACTTACCACGGTATAAATCTGTGGCTTTCGTCTCTTTGCCATGTCGATGACATTGACGCCGTTGTAGTTGAGGTTCTCTATGCAGCCATGGAAATTTTCATGAAGAAACGTCCCAGGTTTGCCAGGCAAAGGTATTCCCCCGAAACTGAGCTTGAATAAGGCCACGCAAACACAGAAACACAAACACACACACACACACAAGCAAACAAAGACACAAAGCAAACACATATCCCAGAGATCAGTAACAATACTGCTTGTATAGCAGACAAGAGACTACTTTAACCTGTAACCTGTTTTTTTATCCATGAATTACAACTATTTATTATGTAAAAACTGAGACCAATTGAAACAATTGTCTATCCGGTTTTAATAGTTTTGTATTTTAATAGCATTGCTGCACATTCCCTAGTTATTTTGAGTGCTGCACCCTGACAGTAATGGTACAAAGTATCAAATAGGCACTCAAAATCTCCATAAGAAAATTATAAACTTTGCTGCTCTTGTCAAGATTGGAAAAAAAAAAAAAAAAAACAAGGGATAGGAAAAAGGAAAGGAAGTGGTAAATATTTCAGCTGTTTGCAAAGAGGTTAATCTATAATAAATGGTATCAATTTTCCTTGAGCATTGAAGCCATTAATCATTTAAGCGGGAATGAGTAAAAAGAACCAAAAAAGACAGGGGATGTGCATTCTCAAGTTTGAAATAATCACTTATACACACAAAATAATAAATGAGGGAATTGTTGAGGTTAAAGAAATAAAGAACTGAAGGTGAAAAGTGAAAAAAAAAAAGAGTTTCGATAATATTTGGAGGATTTTGGAAGAAAATTTATCAAAAAAAAGTCTTCGGTCTGTTAGTAATTGCTTCTATGAATCTATTTTAAAAAACAAACAATTAGACCAGTCACGATATATATATTTTATATCATATGATATATTGCACCAAATTGTATTGCAATAAATGATTGCCATTTGAGGACACAAATTATTTAATGCCAGAATGACAATATAATAGCATCATAATGAAAGCACACTCATCCAAAGAACATATAATATTTTATTCTTTAAAATATTAAACTATAGTAATTTTAACAATTTAATAGTTAGGCACTGATATCAGTTAAAATGTATATTCTAAACAAGTAAACATTTTAATGTTATTCAAAAAGTGCAAGGTAAAAACAATTGAAAAAATCTGACATAAAATATACTGCAGTAAATTATATTAAATGCTATAGTATTTTAACCATATTTTTGTATGGTTGATAAATATTGCATCACCAAAAATGATTAAGGTCATGGCCATGTGTTGTAACAATACTGCATTAAAATGATTTTAAGAAAAATGCTGAAATATTTTTCTCAGAATTAGTTCTAAAACATGCATGACGGAACAAAAAATAATAAACAGCAAATCTATTTTAACATTGCTAACAATAAATATGCAAAAAAATAATAATAATAAAATAAAAGCATTTTAGAATGGTTTATGAAAACATTGGGAGACTATTATGTGACGCTCAAGCATTGGAGTGATGCCTGCTGAAAATTTAGCTTTGAATCAGAGCAATAAAGTACATCTTATAATCTATTAGAAAATAGGGTTGCACGGTTACCAGTAGTATTACAATTCTATGGCTTCAAAATACTACCACTGAAGTTAGTAAATGGTAGTATTGTCTTTAGCCCCTTTCACACATACAGACCTTTCCGGAAAATTGCCAGCAATTTTCCGGAAAGGTTGTATGTGTGAACAGGTCCTTTTTGAAAATACCGGTAAATTCGTTCTGGCTATTTTCCGGAAAGAGAAGTTGTAACATTACCGGCAATTTGCCGGAATGCTGCGCTGTGTGAATGCAGAAGGAAGATTCCCGTAATAAGCGCGTGCACGTCTAGAACGTGCTGACGTGAGACATCTGCTTTAGCCAATCACAACAGTCAGACTCATTTACGTCCGCGCGGTTTGTGAGGATAAAAGCCTTTGAATATTTTTCCAGACACATTTAGCTGCTAGAAGTTAGTCAGATCACGTTTATATGTTCTTCTTAATGCCAACTGTGTAAATAATCATCGATGAGATGCTTATGATAAGCCGTTGTTTGTTTACCTTCAAGCTTTGCGTGCGCCTATGAGCGCCTGCATAGTGCATACGCACATATTATGAACATCTGAAGTGATCCTGCGAAAGTTGTTCACAATATTGATTATCCACAGAGTTTGTAATTTAGTCAAATGTTTACAAATACAAGCGCAGCCGTTTAAAGCTCATTTGTGGTGAATGATGTCAGAATTTACCGGTATTTTGGAATGGATGTGTGAATGCTCTTTTCCGGAAAATTTCCGTAACGTCCTCGCCTGTGTGAACAGTGCTTTTTTGAATATACCGGTAAAGTCGTTCCGGAAATTTTCCGGATATTTACCGGTTTCACTGTGTGAAAGGGGCTATTAACGGTCTGTCTACAATAGATAGTGTTGCATGTGGGAAAAGTCCCTAAAATGCTCACACGTTTGTGCAACAACAGATTTTATATGAATAGTCTCTGGAGCCATTTAAGGTTGCAAAACTGTGTAAAATTTGTACCTTTTATGGTAGCGTATTGCATGTTTTCTGAATCTGAATCGGTTTATTTCTGTTCCTGTTAATATGATTTAGTAGCTTAAGCAGTTGCGACAATCTCTTTAAAAGAATGACTCACAAAGTGAAATTTTAAATTATTTTGGATTGTTACCTGATAAGACTGAACATTTTTTTTATGAAAAACCCAAAATATGAACAGGAAACATTGAAAAAATGTTGACCTCTTCATATAGCCTAATTTTGTTTGGAATACTTTGCATTACATTATATTTTAATGTATTTTTTTTGTTGGTCAGTAATCTACAAAATAAACAAAAAGAATGAATACATTTTTAGATAAAGAGGGGTGCAAATAATGCAAATAAGTGCAAATAATAAACTTTTTGGCCTTAGGGAAATTATGAATTAAATTCAAGTAGGCTTATTATAATGTAAATATAGTATTTCTGACAATTTTCTAAGCTTTTCACTCATCATAGCACATGTGCTGCTGATGATGTGACAATACAAGTGATTTAATTTCTTTATAACTCGAGTTAGGAATAACAGTATCACATTACTACTTGGTATCATGATACTTCAGCTGGTATAGTATCGTAAGATTAATTAATGGTATCATGACAACCCTATTAGAAAACAGTTGTTTTAAAGAGTAATGCTGTGTTTACAGTGTTTTTGATTAAACAAATGCAAAATTTGTCAGCATAAGAGACTTATTTTAAAAACAAAACCACAAAACAACAAAAAATATCTTATAGACCCCAATAAACTTCTGATGCCTTTGTGTGCTTCTATAGTTTGCATCAATACGCTTGATGAGATGACAGGAATCATTGACTTTGTTCTCTGTGGTACTTTGTTTCAGGCTTTCATAAGTTTGCGGTGACAGTGATTGAATAAAATGTTTTGAAACTTGGTTTCAGATAACAAGGGAGTGGGATATATTTATGCATGTCACAGTAATAGATCTTATTCTTTTTTCTTCTTGCTGTTTTGACAAGGATTACTTTTTAAATATTTCTTTGTTCAAGCGTCCGTTGTGTAGTAATATTTTCCGTTATCTAAACCAATAACATAAACAAGCTCTGGATGGAAACTAATTAACTATAAATTCAGATTTACGGAAATATACACTCAGATCTCACCTCATAGTCGATCTCCAGGGTGTCCTCTTGTCCTAGACTACGGAAGTGTTGAGTGTGTCCATCCACGGTAAAGTTGACGTGTTTGTTAAAGCGCTCAATCTGAACAGAATGCCAGTGGTGGTCATCCAGCAGACTTCCTAACATGACAGATGATGAGCGACCACCAGACTGGGGCTTGGCATCATCTGTACAGAGAAAGACACTAGAAACATAGACTGGACAACATAAGCAAACATTTAGCCAAGCAGTCTAGCAAAGGCAGTCATTTGCATCATTTATGCAAACTGTTTCACCAATCTTCAATCTGTCCATCTACAATAACTTTCCATCCACAAATCCATCTAATTATTGCAAACCTACATTCACTCATTAAATAGTCCATACATTCCTCTGTGCATCATTCATTTACACCATTGTCCATATCTGTCTATCTGTCCATTCATCCATCTATCAATTGAAATATCCATATATCTGTCCATCATTGTGTCTGTTCATCTGTCCATCCATCCATCCATCCATCCATCCATCCATCTATCTATCTGACTGTCCGTCCGTCCGTCAATCCATCCATCCATCCATCCATCCATCCATCCATCTATCCATCCATCCATCCATCCATCCATCCATCCATCCGACCGTCCATCCATCCATCCATCCATCCATCTATTATCAGTCCATCCGTCCGTCCGTCCGTCCGTCCGTCCGTCTGTCTGTCTATCTATCCATCCATCCATCCATCCATCCATCCATCCATCCATCTATCATCCGTCCGTCCGTCCGTCCGTCCGTCCGTCCGTCCGTCCGTCCGTCCGTCCGTCCGTCCGTCCGTCCGTCCATCCATCTATCTATCTATCTATCTATCTATCTATCTATCTATCTATCTATCTATCTATCTATCTATCTATCTATCTATCTATCTATCTATCTATCTATCTATCTATCTATCCATTTATCTATCTATCCATCCATCCATCCATCCATCCATCCATCCATCCATCTATCTATCTATCTATCTATCTATCTATCTATCTATCTATCTATCTATCTATCTATCTATCTATCTATCTATCTATCTATCTATCATCCGTCCGTCCGTCCATCCATCTATCATCCGTCCGTCAATCCATCCATCCATCCATCCATCCATCCATCCATCCATCCATCCATCCATCCATCCATCCATCCATCCATCCATCCATCCATCCATCCATCATCTATCTATCTATCTATCTATCTATCTATCTATCTATCTATCTATCTATCTATCTATCTATCTATCTATCTATCTATCTATCTATCTATCTATCTATCTATCTATCTAACTATCTATCTATCTATCTATCTATCTATACATATCACACCATCACGCCTCCATCAAGAAACATTTGTGCAGGAGGGTGAATAAAAGGATAGAAGGTCATTTCGAATAATACAAGTTGAGACTCTTGAGGAATTTCCTACTCCTACGGGGAGGGAAAATAAATCCACTCCATTCTTATTCTTGCTTCTCTAATGTCCTGCCCTTCTCTTCCACTCACCTAAATTGAGATGCAAAATGAGTCTTCCTCTCTGAAGCTCCAGAGTCAGAAAATCTCCTCTCTGTCCCTCTCCATGAACCAGAACGCCTTCTGCCTGATGACTCCTGAATCTCAGAGATATAACGTCTTTCACTGTGCTGGTGGACTTCTGGTTGAACCGGTAGAGTAAGGCACTGCGACCGTCAAAGTCAGCCACGTCGGACTCTGAGGAGGACAGAAAGACGATCAAAGAGAATGTGAGAAGACCCTCCGCTCTGTGCACTTTCTCTGACCTTCCCACATCTGTCTGCTCTGGTACTTCCTGTTGACTTAAAAGTTAAGCTGAGCTGAATATTCAAAGGCAGCTAACTTCTTTAAATCTTAAAGGGATAGTTCATACAAAAAGGAAAATTCTTTACATTTACAACGTCACAGTTGTTATTGTATAGTTACAATAATATACAGTTACACAATATACAAATCCTTCATTTGTTCAAATTTAATTTGAGTTTATTTTTTTATGTTGAACACAAAAGAAGATATCTTGAAAAAATACTGCTAGCCCATTGACTTCCATAGTATCTTTTTTACAACTTTAAAAGTCAACTGGTGCCGGCAACCAGCATTTTTCAAAACATCTTCTTTCGTGTTCAACAGACTAAAGAAACTTATAAAGGGAAAGTAAATGATGAGGACATTTAAATTCTTTGGTGAAGTATCCATTTAAATATGGTATACAGTTTCCTAATAAAAAATAATGGGTCATGCATTTTTGGAATGATTATAGAAATATTTGTTTGTGTCCAATTTTTTTCCACATTTTGTTAAGGATAATGCTTGAAAAACTTGAAAAACTAAATAAACACACAACATAACATCTTAAAGGGGTGGTTTACCAAAAAGAAAAAGAATAACCTCAGGCAATCCAAGACATGGATAACTTTTCTCTTCTGCAGAACTTTAAAGAATTTTAAGATTAATTAATCTCAAATCAATGTTGATAATACTCCCATGGCCCCTAAATATACACAAAGTTGTAATAAAGCAAAACGTGTAATAAACATATTATTAGCATGTTATTAATTATATTTGCACCATTGTTACCTTTAATCCACATTTTGTAAACTGTCCTAAAAATATTCACAATAATCTGGAGTGCAAGCCTCCTTTTGCGGGAGGCATTATAGACATTGAATGTTGAAAATTTGTTAAGTCAGTCTTGCCAATTGAGAGTGTACATATTGTAGTTTTGCTCATCAGTTTATCACCTGGAGCCATGGGTATTAATATTTTTTTGCCTCTATATAGTTTTAATTTCAACAGCTGGTAGTTGTTGGTGAAGCCCCCACAAAAGCATTATTTAAGAATATTTAATTTTCCACTGAAGAAAACACCAATCGACGTCTGGCCTGAGGTTTGAGTAAAAGTAAATGACTTTAAAATATTTAAGCATGTGGAAAACTGTTTGACAATTTGGTTTATGTAGGTATGTGATAAAAACAAAACGAAACCAAACATTGGCTCAGAAAATAACAGCAGCAGCAGCAAATCAAATGCAATACATCACTCACTATATGTACAGCCATAGACCTCTAGCCGTAGACCCATTCCTCCTCTCGGGCTTCCCTCTATGGGCAGAAGACGCATATATCGAGTTCTGATTGAGTGAGGGAGTTTGTGTTGGACCACTGTGTCTGTGTCACTGTTTCCTGTAAATGTCTGTAAATATACACACATACACAACAATTTTGGTCAGACAGGCCTTAAATGGCACAATGTTAATGCTGAAATGCAAACTCCACACAGAAATGCCAACTGGCCCAGCTGGGACTCGAACTAGCAACCTTCTTGCTGTGAGGCGACAGTGCTAACCACTAAGCCACCGTGCCACCATTCTTAATACACTAAATTTAAAATGACTTATATTAATTAAGGCAAAGAGTTTGCACGATTCAATTAAGTAAACATTTTTACTTATTAATAATTTTACATTATTGACAGTGCTAACCACCGAGCCACTGTGCTGCTGTTCTAACCATCTGTGCTACATCATCAGAATGTGCTACCAGTAGCTCAATCTGTCATATTTCATCTAAAAAAAAAAAAAAAAAAGTATTTCTCATTAGATTATAAGTAGACTGTTAGGTTGGGGTTAGAGTTAGTGTAAGTTGACATGTACTTGCAAAGTTTCTTATAGTCAGTTAAACATCTGTTGAAGGAGCAACAGATATTAAGCAAACAGTCTACTAATACTCAAATGGACCATCAAAATAAAGTGTTACTGAAATTTATTCCAGTCCAGTCTATATGGAGGGAAATAAGCAAATTGGTTTATTTAATTATTTTTTAGGAAAGACATAAAACAGGCGTAGCAGCTTCAAATGCCTACCAGAGTGATCTATTGCCTTAATTTTTAGCTTTTTATTTTATTAGTTTTGTATTTAATTTGTTTATTAGAGTGGTAGTTCATTCGGATTGACATTTGAAGCTGACAAAATGCTCTGCCTATGTTTTTACACCCTTCTTTAAGTAGGTAGTTCATTCTGATAGACATTTGAAGCTGATAAGATGTGCTAATCGTGTTTTTTTAGATGAAACATGACAGATTGAGCTATCGGTAGCACATTCTGAGGTGGTAGCACAGATCGTCAGAACACCGCCCCTCATTGACAAACAATATTTTTTATGTCTTTCCAAAAAAAATAAATAAATAAAGTAATTTGCTAATTTCCCTCTTACAGGAGTAGACTGAACCACAATACATTTCAGTAACACTTTATTTTGATGGTTCATTTGAGTATTAGTAGACTGTCTGCTTAATATCTGTTGATATGCTCCTTCAACAGACATTTAACTGAATATAAGAAGCTTTGCAAGTACATACTCTAACCCTAACCCCAACCTAACATTATGCTTATAATCAAATGAAAATTAGTGGGCATGCAGATGCAATGTAACTTAAATTCAACAAACGGACCATTAAAATAAAGTGTGACCTAAATTTCAAATTACCCAAACTGACCAACAAAGTTGTCAACAAAATGCTGGGCAAAACAAGTGTGTTTTTACCATGGTTCAATGAAAATTTATTAGAGGCTCTTCAAGAACAGCTGCAATGCTAAACAGGCCCTGCAGACAATATTTAGCATACAACACTCTGTACGACACAAACATTATATTTGCACAAATTACACTCTCTAAGTTGGTTTCTTTGCTCCCCAGCGATGATGAAATGAGACTAAATGATTTTCTGATGAGTTCTGACCTTCTCGCTCTTTCAACTGTGTGCTGATTCATCTCTGCTAGGCTGTTTTGTTTTGTCATTTTTATTAAAGGATTCTTGAAAAATAAATCACCCCTGGAGCTCGTCGAGAGGAAGTTGCCAAATAATTTTTTTTGAAAGATGTCGGCCACTCGTTTTGTCTTTTCACCGAGCTAACACATGCCAACAGCATACACACCAGAATAAACTCATTTCTTTCAACTTGTCTACATCATTAAAGTTAATGAAAGATCAAGGATGTGATGAAACAATTGGAAACTATGAAAAACGTATAGAGGGAGAAGTCTCCTTTTTTTCTTAGGAGATAGTGACTGAAATGTTTGCTCATTGCCAAGTGAGATTTAGGCCCTCATAAACTCTGAACATGAATAAACCTATTAATAATGGTTGACAATCATCCAGAGCAAGTGAAATGTGTTGTAAAAGAGCAGGATATTAAGAAAAAGGCATGTGAATGGCCTCAGTCAATGATTTAGTTTAATCACTGAAATAAAATAAATAATGCCATAACTAAAAAAGTGAAGTCAGCATAGCTCATATATTTATTTCTTTGATGTTTTGAACACTTACTGTAATTAGAAGTACAATGTGACTGATTTGAATCTCTTTGTGGTCTGGTGTCTTTGAGGCTGTTGAACTTGATATTAATAATTCATTTAATGAGAAAACAACCAAGGACAAAAACCTCACAATGCATTGAATACAAAGAGGAAACGGGAAATAAGCTAAGATGATGGAATGATTTATATGTAACAGCACAACCATTCTCAGCATTATTACGGCCAGCAATCACTCCCAAACGTCATCACAAGACAGCATTATTAGAATTCTGGTTATTTTCTTCAAATTCTAGAATGAATTTGTAATGTGTTTTCCTCAAATTTGACCTTTTCATACTAGCCTCTGCAATAGCCAGTCCTGGATTCTACACAAAAAAAATATGTTGGGATAACAAGAAGAACAAAACAAACAAACAAACAAAAGCAAATTGAAAATAATACAATTAGGTTGTTCCCAAAAAAAAAAAAAAAAAAAAAACACTCAAGAATTGTGTTATTTATAGTTGGCATTGTACGATGTCTAATGTGAAACATCGCGATGGGCGATGACATCGTCATCATGTGAATAGCGCGGGGGGGTTATTGTGTGCGCGCAACATGTCTGAAGAGCGAGGTGGAATCCGTGGGTGAGAAGGGTGCGCGACTTATTTGAGGACTGAGGGGGAGGGAGGGAGACGCGCGATTTACGGGAGATTATCACTCGATTATCACTCGTTTGCGGCCATTGTGAGGAACTGCTCTCTGCCTGGAGCGCATGACAGTGTGTGGCTGTGTGTGTGACTGTGTCTGTGTGTGTGTGTGTGTGGTGTGTGGTCATGTGATGTGCGTTTTCAGCAATTTTTGTTCTAAAATGCTATTTTAACACTAAGACGTATTAGTGTAAACAGGGCCTGAGTGTGTATTTTTTGCATGGGGGCGGGGCGGAGGATCGGCGATGCTGGCTCAGCATTGTGTTGTCTATTGGCCATCGGCAATGGACGATGGCATCGTTTATCGGCCCAACCCTACCCACTGTATCACCCTTGTCTGTATATCAATTAAGATGCCTCTGTCCTGCTGCACTTCATCAAAATTCAGCATCATAAGCAAAACTACCACCTTGTGTCATACAACATTTATCGAGTTATCAGCGCGGTTGTCAAGGTAGAATTTCAAGCACAACTAATGAATAAGTTAAACACACCTATTTAAGTTTTGATGTCAAAACTTGGTATTTTAAGTAGGTTAAGTTATATTATATTAAGTTATATTCACTTAATATCTTTAGTAATGAGAACAGCAGTGTTTAGTGTGTAATAAAATTAAACGGCATAGGGAAAAAGTATCGAACACATGAAGAAAGGGAGGAGTAGAAAAACAGTAAAAGCCCAGACAGCAGCTTAAATCTCTATTCTTCTTCATTGTAAATGTACATGAGCTGCTTCAGTCCAACATCTACATTATCGGGATGCTGAAGATAAAACCAGGGTGGACATTTCAGCAAGACAATGGTCCAAAACACAGACAAGGAAACGCTCAAATGATTTCACAGAAAGAAAATCAAGCTTTAGAATGGCCCAGCAAATCACCTGACTTGAATGCAATCAAAAATCTAATAGATCAGATTTGATCAGTGAAACACACCGAATCATCAAGATTTTTTTATACACTGTTAAAGTCTGTAAAAACTCACAAATGAGCAATGCATGGGACTTCATTCTCCATATGAGAGGCATCTTTAAGCTGCCGTCACCAAAAAAAGCCTTTTATATAAAGATTTAAATACATTTCTGTACATAAAAAAAAAAAAAAAAAATCAGAAAAAAAATTTTAATGTCTGTATTGTTTGTTTAATTGTACCAAAATTTTGTTCAATTCCATGTCAACAGCTCCTTTGGAAATATTATGTTCGATACTTGTTTCCAATACTGTAATTTTGTACATATACATGTTTAAATAAGGTACTGGATTTGCATTAGTTTAGTTGTAGATATTTCCCAAATGGCTTCCATAGTTTCATCTCCATTGTACTCACACATTTACATGGAAGACTAAGCAAAAAACTGGTGCAAAGTGAAAGTTTTATCCATAATTCAGCAATGCTCCATGTATGTTTAATGTAGAGAAAAAGTGAATAATACAATGCTTTTTTGAACAGGAAATGCTATTCCTATGTCATTCCTATGACAGGAAAACTTCATTTACAAGTAATTTACCTTTTCAACCCAAGGATGAAGACCTAGGTGTTTAATCCTTATACCGAACAATAGGCTTAGCTTTTATGCATTCATTCAGCGTAGGTAAAGAGAGAGTAAGGAAAAAAGAAAGAGAAAAAAAGTACAATAGCTTTTCAAAGACATCCGTTAGTGAGATACACAAAGCTGGAAGAACGGAAGCAACACACTGTAAAAATCACTCCAAGAAATTTAAATTAAATTCTTAAGCCTCGAGTTAAGCTATTAAAAAGATGATGGTACTTTATTTAACATGCAACAAAGAATCTGCATACTTGAATCTAAAGCTGTTTTTTATATATTAAATACATTTAAGTTGGTATAAAGGAAAATCAAATCAACCCTCTTTTTGTTTTATGCAAGCTTCGCAAACTGATTTGAATATATAATAAAACTATGCAGCTGATTGCAAAAAAAGCAAGTTACTTTGCAGTCTAAATACATCTGGAAAACTGAAAAAAAGCTAAATGACCCCAGTGCATACACTTTAAAATCAAGCAGTGCAATTTATTAAATGAAATGAGTTCCTTTGACTTGCATCTTTTTCATTTAAAAAAAGTTAATTGAACTTAATAGAAACAACTTTTGTGAAGTCAAAATTTGATTGTATTAGACTGAATCTAAAAGGAATGAGTTAACCTGACCACGCAGATTTCTAGAATG